GGCGCGTCCGGTTGGCGCGTACGATCTTTCCACTCTCATCGCTGATAACCCCGGCACGCATTCCAGGCCTAGTGATATCATAGAATACAAACTGGGCTGGAAGATCCAGGGGAAGCAAATGGCTCGTCTGGTCAACGGGGCCCATCTCCTCTGGCATCGACTCCACCAGATCTGCCAGTGCTGGCCCGAAGAGTGAGAGTGCCCAGCCCTGAGCTCGAGCATCGCTGGTTGGGTCGCGCTCAAAGATGGAAAAGGATATATTGGCTGTCTTGAGTTGGTGTGCGAGCGTAAGCCCGCTCATGCCAGCCCCTACAACGAGAACATGAGGGTACGACTTGGTCGACATAGTCAATAGGTAAATGGCTATGACAAAAGGCTGGACAATTGGGAAGAAATGAGGTGGGATGAACTTTGAGTTGAATATATGGTAAGCTGGCCGACGAGTGTACGCTGTGCTTTTAACGTACTCAAGCGACTGTTGTCCATCAGCGATATGCTCAAAGACCATGAGAGAACGTCTCTACCTACCACGCGCGGCTGAGTACAATTCACCCGACGAGACTATTCCACCCACCCCCGCCCAAACTATTCAGATGACCTAGGTATCTGAGTAAACAGTCCATAATGCCTCTTCAAAGTGGAACGCCTGATCCGATGGATAGATTGGCTTTCCATAACCTGAAGGATGTGCAGGCAAACCATGTTGAAGCTGGGATTGTCCTCAACACGACCCTCCGCTTGGGATGAGTGTTGCATCCAAAGACCATTGCGAAACACCAGTCATGCAACAGTCAGAGCTGAAGGCGACATGTGGGGATGAATGTTGCTGTCACTCGTGCTCGCTATGCATCTTCAGGGAACCTCGGCCATTGTACTGCTGACACTCCGACTGCGCACTTAGAAAAACCCGAACATTGATCGGCATGCTCGTTTTTTGCACAGCCTGTTCAACTCGTACGTCGAGCCTTACAAAGCGGACCTGGTACCAGCGTGATACAATTTACCGCGTTTAGCAGCAAGGTGCCTCCATTGCAATGGAAGGGCTGCTGGAAGTCCTCGTACTCCTGATGTTCGTCAGCCTAGGCCACCCATTCCTGCAGCGTGGGATGCCCACTACCGTATAGTGACAACGTGAGGTTGTCGCGCCGGATATCGGCCGTTTAGCCGGCCTTATATTGGGTCTGCACATCATGTTGCTGCAGGGTGGGCTGTCAGCGACATACCCGCGCGGTTCCTGCACCAGATGCGGGCCGTTGCAGGATCTGCACTTTCGGGCACTACGGCAGTTTCCGTATAAGTCTTACATGTCTTATCTTCTACCCGAGACTAGAGTTATGCATTATCAAGCAGAAGATGACTGCAGGTGGGAGCTGTGTAACTGTTCGCGGAATTCCGCACCAATCACTGATCTAGCTTGATGATTACATGGACACCAACATGAACGCTGAACCGTCATCACATCGGCATACACCTCAGACCACTTCAAACGCAGAAAATCCTGTCGACGCTGACAGCAGCATGATTCCGGAACGACCCGTCCATTTGCTACATGGCGCCATCGAAGAGTCTGATTACGCAAGCGGCGCTCGGTGAAGAAGCGGTCGTCTTGTTCAAGCCTCCTTGAGCTTACGCTCATTCCTACGTCATAAAATCCTATTGCAACAATTGAGCAATCGAACTTTTACAAACTAACCAATGCCAAATGCAAGGCTACGGAAGTGGAAAATTCGTTGTTGTCTCCAGCTTCAGCTGCGACTTCTTGCGAAGGCTGACCTCTCGCCTTCAAATACCGGACCAGAATACTGATCCCATAGTTAGAACGCACAGACACTGATGATAGTGGACCTGATGGTCTCCAATCAGAGGTTGACTTTCAACACGTTGCGATAGAAGATAAGGCGACACTGATAAGCTAGCGTTGCAGTACACATAGAAGAGGTAATCTGTATTCAGGAGCGGAGTACATGTAATTTCATAACCCGAGCAGCTCTTAAGCCAGCATTGCACCAATGATACCATGGCAAAGTTCACGATTGTACACGATACAGTCTTTGACGACCAAGCCAACATCTGCCAGTATTTCGTCCCATTCCTTTCTCATTCGTTCACGTGCGCCACAGGCACCCAACATGACCAGATCCAAGGAAGCGGCAAAAGACGGAACTGCCGCTTCTGGCAATATCATATCGTTGATCAGAATTACGGATTCAGCACTCATCGCCGATTTGATCTGGCGTAGGATCTGCTTCGATTTATCATCGTTCCAGTTGTGGAGAATCCACCCGAGATGATAAAATTTCGCACCTGAATAAGCTTTAGCATATTATTTCCCGTTTAAGAGCTATCTTGCGCATACCTTTGATGGGCTGAGGCTGGAAGAAGTCGTGACCGATAGCTTCAACACCAGGTGTCTTCAAAGAATGGGCAAGGGTATTCGGCAAATCTTGCAAGATGATCCGGCCAGGGATATCCGGAAAGCGTTTCTTGAACATCGCGCAGTAATGCCCAACGTTCCCACCAACGTCGACGAATGCTGGCAACTCAGGATTCCAGTCTTTCATCTGGGGTCGAATGGGGTACTCATCCAACCAGCGCCCCCGCACGGCTTGCTCCATAGCCATGTAGCTGATAAGAGCACCCATTTGCAGTGGGTTTTGGGAAAACCAGGAGTACGTGTCCAAATCAGTGTCGTAAGCCGGTTGGAATACTGTGTTTTTACCATCGGTAACATCCTGATATTTGTTCGCGCGCAAGAAAGCGGGCATTTCCTGGAACAGAGGACCGCAGTTCTCGAAGCTGGTAGAGCAGTCAGTTCCCAAAAGTCGGTAGGGGGAGGGTTGGCTGAGTCGCTTACAAATGTGTGACAATCTTCTCAGCTTCTGGAGTTGCCAGATTTCGGCTTTTCTTGCTAGCTTCGAATTGGTTGACACCAGTTTCGTGGATGAGTCCAACCGAGGCCATGTATCTAAGCAGACGCCCTAATATATACGATTAGCACTGCTTCTCAACAAGGCGAAAGGTCATCACAAGGCGTACCGAGGGTGATCGGATGGGCATTCGTCACTTTTTGCAGCTCTTGGAGGCTCTTTGGACCAGATTTTGCCAAGGTGTCAAATATCTTCAAATCTTGGCCGATGCGTGCAGTTGAAGACTGCAAGGGCTGAACGGTAATTAGTGGCTAGGCAACGGATGCACTTGAGGAGCGACTCTTACATAAAGAGCTCTGTGAGGAGCAAGTCTTAGTTTCGCGTATCACGTTCCTAACAGGGTTGAATACTTACATGCGTGTTGCAGTGTCTTCTGGCGTCTCTAAACCAACGATCATCTCGTGCAATTCACGAAGTAGGATTTTTCGGGCATCACCATGAGCTGATGACAGTAGCTGCCTTACTTGTTCCATAAGAGTGTAGGCCACCATGATTTGATTAGTTGACGGAAAGAGATAAGCGAAGAGTAGGTTGCACGAAGAGCTGAAGGGTAACGGATGAAGGGACGAGGCTCTCATTTATAGAACACATCAAGGTGCCATGGTCAAGCTTACGTTATTTCCATGCGTGATTGCTTCTACTACTCTGGTTCTGTTCCGTTGTGATTTGAATATCACTATTGCCGAAGCCGACAGTTCAAGCCTAAGGCGTGAATGGATGTGTCTCAGCAAAGTCAGACTCGCACGGGCTGAGTCTCAGAGATTCAGAGTCGGCATTTGCTAACTTTAGAAAAGCGTCTTCAGATGTCCGGTACAGTGTGCTCAACTTCCCGCTTTTGTTTCTGCGACGTGCATAGGGCGCTTGAACTATAGCCCCACCATGCGCAACAATGTATACAAGTTTGTACAGCTCTGATTCACATCGAAGCTAACTTTCACGCAATTGCAGTCAATGTCAGCCAACTTGTCAGATCCTGCAGTAAGAGACAAGAAGAGAAGGATGCGAATCTGACTTGCAGAAACGCCACTATCAAGGTGCAGAGGTAGAGTAAGTGTATATTGGCTGCATCATGATGGTGTCTACATGCATCAGACGTTTCATAGTAGGACAATCTACAGCCAGGTGTAGGCCGCACATCCCACGTTGCCGTACACATTGACATGAACCGCGACCGAATGTCTCCGATGGAGTTCGATGCTTATTCACACAAGCGACTCGGGGTTTAATTGCGTAGATTGCTTATCCGTACGCAAGCTCATCGAACCAGAATGCTTAGTGTGAACACCTGCAGAAGAAAGGACGCTCACTAGTTGCACTTCTGTGGAATGTCTACTGGAAACTTTTGTGAGGTATTTACCTACCTCGTATACATGTAAGCGCCTACTGAAAGAGGCGTTGGGTACATCCTTGCACTACGGGAAGTACGTCTACTGAAGATACTCTCTATCACCTTTCCGTCCGAATTGTAATGTAGGTGCGTTTTCATTCGGAGTTGGAAGGAATGTTCTAAAACCACAACTTGCTACAAACGAGTTGCTTTGTGGCTTGTGTACCTATAGAATGTTGGCAACAGATGAATCAGCTAGGTAAAGCATGCAGACGCGATTCAATGTTAGAACAAAGGTTCTGACTCTCCCACGTTGCCAAGCAACTTATCTCGAGCCGACCCTCCCAGCTATGCATGAGTTGACCGATCACTGGACTACCGGGTCGGTCCGCGGACTGCGCGGAGACGAGAATCATTCGTTACCGTACTTGGGTAGAGCACAACAAGCAGTGCCATATCAGACTTGTTGACGGCTGAGTCTGACATTCCTAGTCTACCCGGAACGAAGTCTTACGCCCAGGAAGGCATGATACGTCATCTAGAACGATAGGACGTGGTTGATGACGGTGGTGTGAGGACTCGCTTTGTTGAGAAGCCGAAATGCTGATGAATACTGGCATCAGTTGGGACGCTTGGGATATGTGTATGGTCGACGGCATAGATAAATACGTCGACAAACGGACTTTTTTGTATCGCTCTCTATCCATCCTAAAATCTTGTCTCGTTGAGCCCAACACATATTGAACATGATACGTGCCAAGGTCCTTTACTTTTCTGGAGAGATACCTCAAGGGGATCCGGCGGGCGACCAGCGAGATTTGTTCAGGAAGCTGCACCTACTCAGCAAGGAGCGAAGTTATCCGATCCTTGCTCTCTTTCTTGAAACCATCACACGGGCTGTGAAGGAGGAACAGCGTAGACTGATCCGCACTGAAAGAGATTTGATACCAGCTTTCGAGACCATCTTGGACTTGACCGATCATGTCGTTGAGCTGAGGAAAACGTCACTTGGCGGAGCGGTCGAGCGAGTACTGGTGCTTGCCTTTCAACTAGGAAGCTTCATTGCGTAGGTCTCCCCGTCAGCTCTTGTCATCCAAGGTTTTAATGCACACCAGATACCACGAAGCTCATCCCCTCGAATATAATTTCCAGTCGTCAGATACATTCCTCATCGCGAGAGGCCCAGGCATGCTATCAGCGGCAGCGATCGCACTTTGCCCAAATGTATCTATGGTTCCAAGCATTGCTGGAGATATCGCCAAAGTAGCATTTCGATTCGGGCTCGTTGTTGATCAGGTCTGCCGATCATTGGAGATTTCACCAGATGAGATCAACGCTGCTGGAGCTTGGATATATTGCGTGTACGGCGTTGACCCGTCGGAGGCTCAAGAAGCAGTGGCACTTTTCAATGCTGAGAAGGTAAGTCAGGTTTCCATGTTGTTTTTGATTGGGAGGTTTCCAAGGTTGAGTCGGAGACTTGGCGTCCGGGTGTGCCGAGTCCCACTTTTCACATCCAGCAGTTCCATTCTGATCAGGGGTCCAATTGACGCTAGTATTTCCTGGGACCTGCATTTCGGGCGCTTACCTTGTGAGGGTGTCATATCGGTTGCTCGTTCCGTCGCCATCTCCTTCCCTATCATCGCATCCATCCACACTCTCCTTTGTCTGCCTTTCCTAGCTGCTTATGGGAGCGACGTTGTGCCTCATATCCAGTCCTTCTGTCCCTATTTCTTGGACCTGCCATGGTCCTCTGTTCTGGGCATACTTAGTCAAAAAGAAGATTTGCCTCCGACCTTGCACTGATATGTATTTTAGGAATATGCTGAGACGAGCGTGGCATCAGTCTTCAACGACGACGGCAAGTCTGTCAGCATTGGTGGCCCACCATCGACTCTCAAAGCACTCTTCACAGAATGTGAATTCTTCAAGCGTACAAGAAACGTACCGATGAAGAAAGTGCAAGGAATGTGGCATACGGGTAAGGTCTATGGTATGGAACACGTACAGCAAGTCGTTCCGCATATCGACGAAAAACACCGACTGCATCTTTCATTGTTCTCCCCGGTAACAGGAGAACCATTCGAGGCAGCGAATGCCAATGAACTACTCGAGCAGATCATGGAAGAGATGCTTACCCAGAGAATCCGGTGGGATCGAACTATCCAGACCGTCACGGAACGGCTGAAACAGGTCTCGCCGAATTGCACCCAACTGATCGCCATACAACCATCACAATATGTTGAAAGCCTACTTGCACAATGGAAAGACGACATCCCCACCGCCACACATACGGCCGAAGACATGATGTCAGCGATCATGAACCTCCCCCTTGGAAGCAGTCCTGCCAAGGATGCGAAGTCATCGAAAATTGCTGTCGTGGGTATGGCATGCCGCTTTCCAGGAGGTGCTGACAACACACAAAGATTTTGGGAGCTGTTGGTACAAGGTCACGATGCCCACGGACCTGTTCCTCCGGATCGCTTCAATGTTGAAACCCATGTGGACCCAGCAGGGAAAACCCCGAATACATCCAAAACACCATATGGATGTTTTGTAGATAACCCAGGTCTCTTCGATGCCATGTTCTTCGGCATGTCGCCACGAGAAGCTGAACAAACAGATCCCATGCAGAGACTTGCTCTCGTGACTGCTTATGAGGCTTTGGAGAACTCAGGCTACGTGCATGGTCGCGGTATACACGCGCGACGCGTGGGTACCTTTTACGGACAGGCCAGCGACGACTACCGCGAGGTCAACTCTGGACAAGAAGTTGGTACTTACTTCATTCCCGGAGGATGTAGGGCGTTCGGTCCTGGCCGCATCAATTACTTCTTCAAATTCTGGGGTCCAAGTTTCAGTGTCGACACCGCATGCTCTTCCAGTCTTGCGGCGATACAAGCTGCATGCACTTCTTTATGGAGTGGTGATGTCGATATGGCAATTACTGGAGGCATGAACATCATCACGAACTCTGATGTCTACGCCGGCCTCAGCAATGGCCACTTTCTCTCACCTACTGGCGGATGCAAGACGTGGGATGTAGGGGCTGATGGGTATTGTCGTGCTGATGGTGTCGGTAGCGTTGTCTTGAAACGACTGGAAGACGCTGAGGCGGATAACGACAATATTCTAGGAGTTGTTCTCGGTGCAGCTACTGATCACTCTGCTGAGGCAGTCTCTATCACCCATCCGCACGATGTTGCACAGGCCCATCTGTATACTCAAGTTGCCAGAAGGGCTGGGATCGACCCTTTGTCGGTCGGGTTTGTTGAGATGCACGGCACAGGAACTCAGGCAGGCGACAGTAACGAGATGAGATCAGTCACAAACGTATTCGCTCCTTCTACTGGCCACATTCGACATCCGCAGTCACCTCTTCACATAGGTACCGTCAAATCCAACATGGGCCATGGGGAGGCGGCTGCTGGTATCATGGCATTCGTCAAGACAATGTTGGTCTTCCAGAAAGGCATTATCCCTCCTCATATTGGCATCAAGTCTCGATTCAACCCAGCACTGCCAGGTGATTTGACCAAAAGAAACGTAGTTATCCCTACAACAGCAGCTGATTGGGCCCCGAACAGCGATCGGAAAAGGCTAGCCATGGTGAACAATTTCGGAGCAGCCGGAGGAAATACGTCCATAATCGTGGAAGAGGCGATGCCACGACCAAGGAAGGGGGACGATGCACGAAAATTACATGTCATCGCTGTGTCTGCAAAGACTGCTTACTCATTGCAGGAAAATCTCAAAGCTCTTGTTGACTTTATTGAAACGAGCCCAGAACTCTCCATTGCAGACCTGGCCTATACCCTGTCGGCTCGGAGAAACCACTACAACTATCGAGTTTCTATTCTTGCGTCTTCCACAGCTGAAGCAGCATCGTCACTTCGCTCTCACATTGAAACCTCTCTATCCCAGACTCCACACTCGGGCAAACAACCTCCCGTAGCATTCGCATTCACTGGGCAGGGTACTTTCTATATCGGCATCGGCACTCAATTATACCGAGACTCTCGCGAGTTTCGCCAGCACATTGATCGACTGGACGGCCTTGTACGACGACAAGACTTCACCTCTTTCTTGTCCATCGTTGCTGGAACTGTACAGCCAAAGGATGTCTCTATCGTCACGATGAACCTTGCCATAATCTGTGTGGAGATCGCTCTAGCGCGACTTTGGGAATCATTCGGCATCAAACCAAGCGTTGTTACTGGTCACAGCCTGGGTGAATACGCAGCTTTGGCGGTAGCTGGTGTGTTATCCGAAAGCGCTGCTATATTTCTTGTCGGCACCCGCGCTGCGCTCCTGAGTTCCAAGTGCACGGCTCGTACACACGGTATGCTTTCAGTACGAGCTTCAGTAGCAGATGTCAAACGTGCTGGTAGTGGTATTCCCTTCGAGATTTCTTGCATCAACGGTCCAAACGAAACAGTGCTCGGGGGCACCCTCCCGAGCATAGAAGCTCTCTCGGCAACTTTGCAAGCTGCGGGTTACAGGACCTTCTATTTGGATCTTCCCCATGCCTATCACACATCCCAAATGGAAACTATCACGGATGAGCTGCTCAGACAAACGAGAACGATTGTATGCAGTCCGACAAGGATTCCCATTATCTCTCCTCGATACGGGAAAGTTATGACATCAAAAGACACAATCGATGTTTCATACTTGGTCGGCGCAACTCGGGAGACAGTCGACTTTGTTGGTGCCCTCAACAACGCTTGGGAGACTGGTGTGATCAACAAGTCTACTGTCTGGCTGGAAATGGGCCATCATCCAACGTGCTGTGGTTTCATCAGCAGAACACTGTCTTCAACTCGGATGGCACTACCAAGTCTACAGCGCGATAACGACAACTGGTCGACTCTGGCCAAGTCACTCTGCATCTTGTATAGTGCAGGCGTACAAATCGACTGGAATGAATATCATCGTCCCTTTGAGCAGGCGCTCCGACTTGTCGATGCTCCGACCTATGTGTGGACCAATAAGAATTATTGGATTCAGTACCGTGGAGACTGGAATCTGACCAAAGGCCGAGCAGTATTTGAGTTGCAGCCTGCATCTGCTCCTGTGCCGACCGTGAAGGGATTCCAGACTTCTAGTATCCATCGACTTACATCGGAGCACTACACTGAATCAACGGCAACCTTGTCGGCGGAGAGCAGCATTACTGATCCTTCACTCCAAGGCGTAGTCGATGGACACGCGATGAATGGATACGGGGTTGCTTCATCTGTAAGTGATGTCTATATCCCATCATGTGTTCCTAAATAAGGAAAAATCTAACAATGCATAGTTCCTCCATGCGGAGATGGCATTCACGCTCGCGAAACGTATTAGTGACAAGAGCTTCGCAACTGCAGTATCATTTGGCATCAACGTCGCCGACTTCGAGTATCATGAGCCTGTTGTCAAGCTCATCGATACAAGTAAACCACAGCCAATACTGGTCTCTGCCGAGGCTGACTTGGACAAGATGGAAGTTCACGTCAAATGGTTCAATCCTGCCAAAGAGATCTGGTACTGCCACGCTACCGTCTTGTACGAGGATCCTTCGTCCTGGTTGTCCACGTGGTCTCGCTCTACCAAACTGGTCACTAGTCGTATCGATGCCCTCAATGACATGGCCGCGGTAGGCAAAGCTAGCAAACTTACGACCGATCTGGCCTACAGCCTCTTTGGCAAGCTGGTTGGTTACTCCAAGTTGTATCGAACTATGCAATCTGTGATTCTCAACGAAGATGAGGCCATGGCTGAGGTGCAGTTCCCTGATGATACTGGCGGTAATTTGACTATCCCACCTCACTTCATTGACGGCCTTATCTCTCTATCGGGCTTTGTGTTGAACGGCGGTACCCACTTTGACAACACGAATAACTTCTTCATCACTCCATCCTGGAAGTCGATGCGCTTTGCGCGGCCGCTGACTCCGGGCGGACGCTACATAGCCTACGTCCGAATGGTGCCCTCTGACAACCACTCTTTTGTCGGCGACGTTTATGTTTTGCAAGGCTCAGAAATTGTTGGAGTTGTCGAGGCGATACTGTTTCTACAGTGGCCACGAGTGATGCTCAATCGCTTCTTCAGGCCTGCTGATGGCACGGCGAAGCCAGCTGCGAGTGTCCCCGTAAAGAGCGCACTTCCAGCGCGTATCAAGTCCAAGGCACACCAAGTGCCACGCCCCAAACCTGCTTCGACACCCCCCAGTCCGAAGGAGGGCTCCGAACACTCCGATTCTTCTGGGGTGATCATTTCCCGACCCGGAGGATGCTCGTCCTCAGATGACGACGCGGGAGCATCAGCCAGTCCGGCCACTGGTGCGAGTGGCGCCATAGACAAAGCCTTAGCTTTGGTTGCGGAAGAACTCGCTGTCGACATTGGCCTGCTTACAGATGACGCTCACATTGCTGACTTGGGACTTGACTCATTGATGTCGCTGGTCATGTCTCAGAGATTGCGAGAGGAACTGGGCTTGGAGATCAGAGATGCCTTTTTCCTGGAGGTCGACACCGTTGGAGATCTCAAGCAGTTGCTTCAGTAGTTGAGGACCTCGCTGTTGTGTGCTTTTGTTTGTTCGTAGGTAGGGTAGCGGGTCCAAATCACACTCTTTTGCTTAGTCTGCCTGGAATCGTAGTACATGTAGTAGCATCTTGTCGTGGTAGTGCATACGAATGGATCATTTCGTCAACATTGCTGCCTGTCACCTCGATCCCTTCATCGACCTCAACATTTTGGACCACTAGGTGCTGTAGTCATGGCCAGTGGAACTATATCGCTAGTATACCAGACACACAACAGCAAAGATGACACGAGAAGAGCGTGATCGTGCGAGAAGAAGAATTCGATTGCGTTACTTAATGGAAGGGGATATCTGGAAACATTGCGTAGAGTCATAAGCCGTCATGTAGAAGGAACAAATAGCCGCTGTACCAACGCCGAGTCATTACGGGAAACATGTTGCCTGTATACCTCCGATACCAGCCGGACAAAGACAGTCAATTACCGTTGTGGATATTGTTGCCCATACACCGGGTATGGTGGGTTGCTTCCATACTGTTGCTGTGTCCGAGCGTAATCCTGTGGATTGTATGTGTACGCTTGCTGACCTTTGTGGTCGCTCTCTCGCCTCTGCCTAACATTATGCTCTTCCTTCGTCTCCTCCATTGTCGGCAGCTCGGCCGCGAATGCCTTCTGCTCCAACCCTGGCGAGCGCATACCCTCCGAGGGCGCATAGGAGCTCGGCCGTGAACTAACGGTGCTGTGCGATGCAGTTGACCAGCGCACATCCTGCGGCTGAGGTGAGTATTGCGACGGCTCAGAGGCGGTAGATGTGCGGTTATGGTTCGGGTGCAGGTAGGAGGGAGATGGTTGAGGGTGGTAGAAGTCCCCTGGTAGTTCCATCACGACGTCGTTCGTTCCTAGGAGCTGCTTCGGGGGCACTGGCGGAGCGTTCTGATCAGGCTGCGCATACTGTTGGCTTTGCCTGTGCGGTGACATGGGCATCTGGTAGGGCTGCGTTGGCGATGGTTGTGGCGACCTGTAATCGTGCGCTGAGCGATCTGCTGGGTTGACCGTCTTCAGCCGCCCGTTCTCCATCATGGCATGCAACGCTCCTGAGTCGAGTAGTTCAGCCTTCTTGACTAACCGGTCTACCATGACCTTTGCAGCTGCCTTCATCTCCTTCTTGACAAAGCTGAGCATGGTCATATTGCACTTGATCTCCACATCTTCGCGTATGTAAAGCCCCTCAGGTGGCGCACCTGAGCCCAGCTCTTTCGGCTCAGGTGGTTCGCCAGGCTGGTTTCCGCAAATCTGCCACTTGTTGCGCAGGTCGACATTTGCAGGCGCATAAGTGTGTGTCTGCAGGCCGAAGGGCAGGTCATGGAAGACGCCTCGAAACTTGATTGCGCCGCTTCCCATCTTGCCAATACCGGGTATGTATTGTATGCGCTGCGAGATCTCGTACCATGTCGAATAGAATTCGTCTGCAGGAGCGTCGCGCGGTGCTTTGATGGGTTCGTGGCCGGTGACGAGTGGATTCAGCTCGATGATTTCGCCATGGCTGTGGAGGAAGTCGATTGCGAGCTGACGCGGGATGTAGGATGGTATGGGCGTGATGTTCACGTACTGCGCTTTCTTGCGCATCATGTTCATGGTGGGCGATCAACGTCGAGTAGGGCCGATATGTAGGTGTGAGGATTCTCGCTCAATTGCTTGCGGATGCGACTCGAGAAAAGAGGCTGCGCCGCGCCGGCAGGAATGGATAAGTAATAAGGATGTTGCTGACGGTACCCCTGCTTGTGCAAGTAGGCTTGATGCGCTGGGCTGGGTGGTCATCACACAGCCCAAGATCGCCGTGACGAAACGCGTCATGCACGTGCGCGTGATGTCAGAAACACATAGGATGCGCATTCAATCATCTTTTGCTCTTACAGGTCGCTGCGATTCATGACTTTGCGAGCGTCGCCTGCTCATAGCAGTTTGCTCTTCCATTGCTATCATCGCCGCGGCCCTGTAGGGCGGCTGGTGCCCGCAGTGGAGACGCCTAATTATAGGCTTGGTGTGCGGCATCTGTCAGCGCTTTGCATGTGGGGGCCGGAAAGTCTGAACTTCAACAATCCTACGCCACAAGCAGGACAGGTCTACGCATGTTGAGGATTGCGCTCAAAAAAACGCTGCCAGCGCAATTGATGATGTCGTATAATCCTGTTGTTGCTTTTGCTCAACCCCGGAATTGTCGTCATCCGAAGAGATAGCGTTTACTACGCCAAGTTGTGTAGCTGGGCAGACGCGACGACTGGTATCCGAGGGGCTGAGTCCAAGATGACCGATGTTCCATCGTTTCCTAGCTTGATTCTGCATTCGCGTGGCGACAAACCTATCAAAGCTGAGGTCGCTTAGGTGGAGTTGAGATCCTCGATCTGGCGGCATGAACTGTTTCGAGAATAACCAGGCCTGAGGCATCAGTTCTCTTGGAGCCCCTGAACACCGGCCAGCATGCAGTCGTAGCCAAGACAATAAGAGCCACCGGCCATTCTCTTATGAGGAGCGCAGTTGCTTCGCATTGATGGAGAGTCGAAAGTTTACTTTCTTTTGACGATCGTGGTAGCTGTCTCGGTGGTATTTGTCGCAGGCAAAGGGGGAACCAGACATACGGTCAAGCCTAGGATAATGGAAGCATAATGAATCGGTGCGAAAGCGCAACTGTGTCTGACGGTTGTGTAGGGACATGTGAAAAATTGTGGTCGTCCCTCTCCGACCTTTCGTAAGAAAAAGATGAGGAGTGAGTGCCTTTGTACTTGTGGCCTATGACGCTTGTTTGGTGTCGAAGGCAGGAGCTACTGCAATTCAACCGTGGTTCGCGCAAGGCGATCTGCGCACGAAACCGAGCGCGGTCGACCCATCTATCTACATACAGTGTGCTTTGTTAAGATTATAGCAACGGCGGGACGCTAATTGTCTATGGCTTATTGTATATAGATCATTATAGTATCATGTATCGGGATGGGATGAATCACGATATAGCTTCTTTTCGCGATGGTATACGGCTTGCGCACGAACACGCTTAAACCTCAATGAAGAATACTGACACTATTACTAAGATGATTAGGATGATGGACAACGAAGACATTGATTTGATCGACGTGCTGGTGATAGAACGCAGGCACAACGCTGTTGAGTTACACCGTATTGTATCGCAGAGAAGCGTGACCCTAAACATTTAGCTTCACTATGTGCAGCTGTGTATACACAATAAAGATATGTCTTAAAAGCGAATGATAGGATATTCTAATAGCATGTAAGCTCTTAAGCGATTAGCTAGATCTTTAAACGCCAACATAACATTACCTCCGAGAACTCTGTACTACACGAACGAGTCATGCACTGTTAACTTGTCGCCTTGAATATCATAAATTCGCTCTCTGTACGGACTAAACTCATACGTCGTGTTTAAGTCTGAGGACTGCTAGTAGAATATCGGTCAGAATGTTCTCTTGGATTGGACACATGCAAGATGTACAAGCAAGAGCGCGTACTTGTAGTGTCCCATTTCCTTCGAGACTTTCCTGTAATCAGGTACTGCCTTAAGCTCTGGAAGAATTCTACTAGGTCAAGCAAGAAACCCGAACACTGTTTGATCTTAATGCACCTAGTCACACAGGAAGGGTTAGGTTTCGATTATGTCGCCATCGCGGAGGCCGTCACTAACGCCCTCTCCCACTGCTACTAGAAACCCTAGATTAACGTTTATAGTGTGGGTTTCCTGCTCGAACCCGCAACAACTTCAGATGCAGCCCAGAATTAGATAGAAGGCTACCCACCACTTCCAGTCTTCAGACTACCAGGCCAGAAGCTCGTCAAGATGCTTACCCAGGATCGCATACACATCATTAGTCAAAATATCAATAGCAACGATAAAACGAGGCAGCACGTTGAGCGCAAGGATACCTAGTACCTGCTAAGGGTTAGCGTCATGTGCGTGCGTAAAGGAAAGACTGTCGACACAGTGAAAGCGCGTGATACCCTCATGGGAGTAGGCGCAAAACGAGAAAGACAAAAAGGAAAAAAGGGGTGAACATCGTGAGTCGAACTCAGTTCAAAAAGCTGCTGGGGGCCCATTGCTGGGAGGTGCTGCGGGGGGCCATTGAAGGCGACTGCTGGGGGCCCATTGCTGGGAGAACTGCTGGGGGACCGAACTACGCTGCAGTCGTAGTTCGATGACTGATTTCTCAAATAACATATATATATATATATACAGTATTTAAAACGTTTAGTATGTGTTGGGAGACTTTGGGTGTATAGGTTCGGCTACTTCGCTACCATCGTCCGCTGCCGTTCGCACACTAAAGGAAAAACAAGTGAATGGAAACAGTAGATTCACGCGAGCGGTTGCTCACCGATAGCTCTTCTTGATCACGCGTTATCTGTGAAACGTCGTGGAGCACTACAGTCCATAAGAATGCTACCTGCTAATACTGTGACGAGCCATTATCAACACGTCACTGATGATATATGCAACCTGTACAACACCTAGATGAGAAACACCTTCCGAATAGAACGAGTGAAAGCCACGGCGATGAGATCTAAGATTGAATCGCTTCCATAATGCTGAGTCTGACCTCGTCACAGTGAACAGCCTGCACTGCTAACCTATGGCTCAACTTCACATCTTGCGCAGGAAAACCTACAGGTATTATGCTTCTATAGTCGAAAATATTCTCTGAATGTCACCGGACATTGGCACAGTCTTGTTTTTGTTCAAATAGAAGATTTCGGGCCGGTATAATTGCCATTCACCTTCACCTTCACTTTCACTTCAACGTCTCAAAGCGGGCAAAGGTACACCTTAGTGTCTTGGCGCACCCACAAACGCGTCAGTATAAACACTCACTTCTACTAGTATTTGAAGCGCTACACATACCTCGCGATCCCTAACGGCCCAGCTGTACACATCTACACCATGGTCTATAAAGGATCCGACAGTTTCTCGCATGTCCCAAGCGATCCGCTGAGGGCTTACGAGACTTACGGCAGTGAATCAAGAAGATGTAAGGTCAATGACAACCACTTTTTTCATGACCCCACGTCGTATATGATACACGACTGACCGAGACAGCTTCGGCAACTTCCATCGGCAACTCCTACGGACTTCCCCCTTCGCCTGGAATGGCATCCGAATTGTCCTTTGATACTCCGACACCAGTTGCCCTAGCTACCAAGAAACGTCGGCTGGAAGAGCCTGGCGCAGACATCGACGCCGGCGCACAAGACGAAGAGCGGCTACCGTTCAGTGAACCAGACCACAAGACACCGAAGGATTGGCAGAGCTCATATCGTGAGGCCAAGCTAGCCTACCTCAACGCGAAGGAAGCCAATCTGACACTGAAGGGTTGCCTTATCGCGAAGGATACACAGCTAGTCGAGAAGGATCAAAAGCTTGTGGATAAGGATCAGAAGATCGTCCAGCTTAGGCAAGATGCGACTCGCGTCAGAAAGATCACAAACCAACGGGACAAGACTATCAACGAGCTCGAGCGCGAAAACCAGTACCTGAAGATCAAGCTCGCACACGAGCAAGCTGTACACACCCATTTGCACCAGTTCATCGCCAGCATGGCCCCAGAGCGCCGCCCTCATATACCTTCGCACATCCCCTCGCTTGATGCGGCAGTGCGTGACAGCCTTGACTATCCTCATCCGGACGCGCCACGCAAGGGTCTCAAGAACTATCGTCGCTTTCAACCAACTCTTCCATATACGGCTGGAAATGGCAAGGTCGGACCTCAAAAGTACGGCTCCAACGCGTTCTGGGATCTAGGCTTATGCCACGATCACTTTCACACTCCCAATGTCTGTCAGCATGGAGTTGCATGCGAGTATCGCCACGGTCTTACATATGACGAGCGCGCGTACATTCGCTTCTTGACCAAGGGCGATGAGTTTCTACGCCGTAGCGACGAGGTCATCATGCGTAAGACTGCGGGAGGAGCACCATAGATGGAGGGTGGAGGTAAGATTGGCATCAGTCGAAGGATTGGATGGCTTTTACGATTGGTATCAGACAGGAGACGTACCTAGGGTACTGTCAGATCAGACAGCGTTAGCTGTATAAAGATCAAATGAGAAATGATTCATGTATGTCCTCTTTGTCGTGAGCATGCTATCCTAAGGCACAACAATATCTAGTGCCCTCATGCTACCTTCCCCGTCTTTGACGTTCTTCACTTCCACCCATCCATCAACCTCGACTCTCACAATCTTTCCATCAATGCATATACGTCTCCATCTACCTTCCTCCTCTTTGCCCTCAAACTCGATTCTCAATCCATCAATGCTCTCATATCTCACATCCTCCTCCTGCACATGCAAGCCGCCCTGATACGCTTTACCCATGACAGCCATGACCTCATCCCCACTCCTCGGCCCAAAATGCACAAGGTGCATAGTACCGTCCAGTGGCTTACTAGCAGGTGATATACAAAACGGCTGTTCGAGATTTGAGACCATGGAAGCAAGAACGTACATGTGCTCTTCTTCTGGTAAAGTGACCCATTCAGCACTATCTTGGAGAATGCAAATCTTGCCTTTGTAAGGGTGCGGTGGTGAGCCGTCAGCAGGGTACAAAGCCTCCTTCGCAGCCATCTTGAAGCGCTCAACACCGTGTTTGCGGTACTCGGCTGTGTCGCTATCTCCAACTAGAGACGCATGCATACCCCAGCTAGCTACTACAGCGCCGTGAAGGACACCATTACCCTGTTTGTCCTTTGGTAATTCTTCTTCTTTTCGGGCTTCATCCGTGAGAAGACGTGCGCCGGGGGAGAATGTAGCTGTAAAAGTGGGTAGGGGCTTTGTTTTCCATGATGCGAGTGCGGGTAAGCCCCATGTGTTCTTCCCTCCGGCGTTGATGGAGTGGTACAGTGCATTTGCCGTCCCTAAGGGCAGAAGTACAACTTCTGGCGGAATATATGTTTCCGGATTTGGCATCTTTGATGAGAGGCCGTTTACAAGATCTACAATACCGCCATCGCCTGAGAGAAGGATGATGCGTATTGGTCTACTCTGATTGGCAGTTGGGAAGAATACTTGGTCTGTGAGTTCCAAGATGCTGGTCGCTGATTTGGTGGTATGTATGCTTATTTCTTTTACCACTTCCTCATCGTAGATGCCTACGAGAACTGGACGTACGACATTGGAGAAGAAGTCTTCCGCGCTCCTGTCACCGGAGCCAACGGATAGGATGATGTGTGTTTCGCGCTGTTGGGTTGAGTCCTTCGGAGGTTGAGGGACGAGAGGTTGCTTGGACACATTGATCAAAGAGGGCGTTTTTGTGGCATCTTTGTGTTCCTGCAACGTGACAACGACTTTAGAATGGTTATCGATACACTTCGCTTCGAAGACGATCTTGTTGTGGGGCTCTCCAATGGCTGATGAACTCATGTTGAAGCCCTAGTGCGATGAATGACTCAGGTCGTCCTGATGATACAATGCGTTCGGAGAGATGTTGAGGGATACCCAGTTCGAAAGTAGACTGCAGGAAAGACAGATAATGGATCAAATCCAGGATATGGAAGACTGATAGTGCAATCCTACTGCATGCAACACCATCCATTTTCACAGGGCGTAGATAGATCTTCGCTGCCCAATCGCGCAATCGACGGATCCCACCTTCCCCATTTTTCGTTTACAGATGCGCTAGCCCGTGTGCGTCATGTTCAATAACGTTACTATCTTGAGACCAAAAGCACGCATCAATCTGAAACATTTCTGGCCGAATGAATTTTTGCGAAAGGGGGCAGGCTACGTAGCGTGCTGTTATTGATGCCACGGATATTGCGAAGGATCACTTTCCTGAACTGACAATTGTTACATTCGGGCAGCGGCGTCAGCACGTGTTACGTCATCACTTGGCAATACGAAGCAGTCTGGGCTCGAGCAACTCAGCCGCGCTTGTCAGCTACACCAACAAATTGACATTGCGGCGCGGACAGTCGACGTCGCATACTACAAACGTCGGGGTATCACCAAATCCCTCACCTCTTACACCCACACCTTGGAGCCACGAGTATCCAGGACAGCGACAGCGAATCCGTCGAATTCCGCGCAATCGCGACGACGACGCCCAAATCGCACATGCGACCCTAATACCCGCCCCCAACACTCCATACAATCACCGCCAACATGAACGGCTGGCTAGTCTTCATCATAATCCTGCTACTGCTGCTCTCAATCTCCTACTTCGGGTGGTACTTTTACGCTCGGTGGAATGCATCCCGCAATGGCCTCCCACCACCCTCGATGAACCCCATGGTAGCTTTCAGCCGCTCCTCGCCCTCTGGCGCCGCAACTTCAAACTACCCCGGCCCTGCGCCCACGGGCATTAAAGGCTGGTTCGACACCCAGCTGCGCAAGTTCAAGAACAGGAACAACCGGTACACAACGGGTAGCGGCTACGAAGACGCAGGCTACAGCGGCGGACGAGGTGTTGGCGGAGGCCGCGGTGCAGGCAGTCGTCTTGATCCCGATGAAGCCTGGAGTTCGCGCGTGGGCGACGAAGCATACTATGAAGAGCAGGAACTCGGTCTCCACGAACCCGTGTCTACCCATGGACAAACTGCGAACCCGTATGCAAACCCTTCCCCATACAACAACACCACTGAGCCCAGTCGCGGACGCAGCCGCACGAGAGACTCTTACGACGAACATCTTGACGCACAGAGCGCGCGTAATCCTTTCGGCGATGACAACGCGGCGAGTCTGAGAGGCGTGAGTCCCAGGCCAGTGCTAGATGCTGATACGAGTTATCGGGGCGGTGCCACAGCGACCATGCCAAGCGCTCCCAAGCACAAGAAGGCGGGCAGTGTGGACAGTAACGACAACAGCCCAACGGAGAGCCGGAGAAGTGTGTTCAGAGAGGGTTTATAGGTTGAGGACTTTGATGCAGGGAGGAAGGAGATGAATAGCTTTTTCTGATACTATGCTTGTATTAGGGTAGGCCCGGTTTTTCTTGAACGAGGTGTTTGACCTCACGATTGGGATTCCAATGATATTTTGTTTTACTTCATGCTAAGCAGAAGGTCGTCCATGCCGAATGTGATATCACGATGCTAACAAGTGCTAGTCAAGTCCAATATTCATATTGCTCTTGGTCTTATTGTCAAAACCTTCAAGAAAGGCAACCAGGAAGCCGCTTCAATATCAGTCGGTAGGCCAGACAGACCCAATAAGGGCGCTCCATCTTCCATATCCATGTGTGACTTCACTACAATTTTCGACCGACTCACTTGGATGGGACTTCGTCTCATCTAAATGTTACTAAGGCTATCAATCACACATTTTTCCAAGGCTGCGGTATCTAATGAAGGGAAGTGGAATGGCTATTAACCCAACGATGATACTTTGATGCACTACTTCAGCACAACTGAACACTCCTCATAGTTGAGATTGATGTCATAGTACAAACCACTTCCACTGTAACACTAAGTACGTGAGTGTCATGCGCAGTCTGTGCGCGGATATACGGTCACGTAGACTTGTCTCACGCACATAAACTTTTCACTCCATCAACGAGAAACCAACAACTAGCCTTTGCACTTGATCTTGGAACGAACAAGCTAACCAAGCCCCTACACTGACAAGAATAGGCATGTCGCGGCAACCTGACATGCGCGAAAGACTACAACGAGGCCCGTATGGTCCAAACAACCCTCCACCGCCTCCCGCCGCACCCCCACCAGAAGCTTACGAGCACAAGCGGACGGATGGTCGAGGTCGCCCGAACCGCAAAGTACGACAGCGAAGTTACGCAAAAGCTGAGGCAGGGCTTCGTGAAATAGAGCAAGAGCGCAGGTGCAGCCGTTCGCCTGTTCACGGGCCAAGGCGTATGCGAGGTCGTTCGCCTGCCCGCCCTCGAGACTGTTCTGGTGAGTCGCCGCAATACCGAGAGCGAACCCCTATGCGTCGCGAGCCCGTGAGCATACCCTCGCATAAAGACAACCGGAGAGATGATGGCATACGGTGCTTTTGTTGCAATGAGCCAGGTGTGTTGCTAATATAGCCTGCTAATATACAATCGCTAAGCCTTGAGAAGGTCACAGAGCCGCTGATTGTAGCATCGCTCCACATTTTGGCAACAAGGCTTGCTTCCGGTGTGGAGAGACAGGACACATCGCCCGTGCCTGCAAGGTACGCGTTGGCCAGGTCAAACCTGAGGTCGAACATGTTGGCGATAAGTCGAATAGAGCGTTCAACGGAGATTGCAACAATGACCATGGCGACGACATGGGACAGTCTTCATCGCCCAAGGTTACTGCCGATGGTCGTTTGTCCGCCAACATCTGGAGTGACCAAGAACAGTTGAGTGTATCGCCACCACGTGCTGGTTACTACGTTGAAGACGAGGTCGATTGGGGCGAAGATGACGATGATGCTCCGGCCAAGTCTGAAAAGCCAGGCCAGTATCACATCCACCCACAGCGCGGGACCATGGTCCAGGAGCCCTTCTTAGGTCTTCCACATTTCAAGAACGCAGAGGTCGATGAAATACCTGCGACAGTGCAAGACCTGCGCGGCTACGACCACCGCATCAAAGTCATGTATGAACGCAAACCCAAGAACCAGCGTTTCATCAATGGTGGCAATGGTAAGGTTGCACCAGCACTGTACGGATCCGAGCAGCGACACGACCTAGGACTCTGCTTCGCTACCTTCCTCACGCGTAAGCGTTGCGAGATGGGTGTCAATTGTCCTTGGCGTCATCATCCACTGGCCAACGCGGAGAAGGCCTGGATCATTGAGTATGGCAAAAAGAAGGGTAAAGAGTTCATCGAAAACAATGACAGGTGGTGGTCCTACCCTGAGGTAAGTCATACCACGTTGGGTATGGTTTGGACTTTGCTAATCATGATCAGGTACCGGTTCCAGGAGCCAATATGCAAGGCTTTGGCGACAAGGACACCTGAGTGCAGGTGATGATCCCTGGAGTCCATCGGATGATAGGATCATTGCTCGAAAGCAGGATTGGACAAGGTTGAGTACCAGTCAATTGTACAAGTTTGGGTGCTTTGGCATCGCTGGGATTGGCGCTACAGCAAGGCGCCACCTCGTGTATGATACCAGCCTCGCACATCGTCAATACCCTGCAGTCCAACGAGCATCATATTAGCAAACACATCCAAGTCATCCGGCTGCGCAATCCTCAAGACTTCCGTGAAGTCTAGCTCTTTGACAAGAAAGTGATTCTTGTCGTTCCAAGCCATGGCAAAGTCGAAGGGGTTAGTTGCCCTCCACAAGTGTGCCGAAAGTGTGACGAGATTCCTTAGAGAGTGGTCGCGGGAGCAAGTCTTGAACTGACCGCTGAATAAAGTCCACATAATTGCTATATGGTAGGCACACAGAACAGTCCGTCGGGCTGATTCGCGGAAAATATACGATTTCCACGCCGTTCGAGCAACTGTGCTAGGATATAGTGGAATGGTCTCCGGTATCTCACTCTCCTCAGCCGCAATAGGTAGCAGAGCGGCGCCCATGTCCTCGAGATAAGGCAGTAAGGTATCAGCTAGTGCCCAGAGCCGTATCCCTCCACTAGAGAGAAGCATGGCCTGATACAACATAAGCGCTTGTGTATGAGCAAGAATCTCAATTGGTGTACTTGGCGTGGCACTGGTAACAAGCTCTTGGGCGCGGCTAGTAATGTACCGTGCAACATGCTCAGAGTTGACGTCGTTCATAGTGGTGTAGAGGGCACATGCAGCATGCGCGTCTTGTAATGATCTCGGCATGTACTCTTCATAAAGCATCGGGTGCGACCATGGTGTACAGGCTTGCTCTACCATCATCTTCGGCGCGAGTTTGATATGCTCGAATGAGTACTCCACTCTGGACTTTGCGTAAGGTGAAAGATGCGCTGATGTGAAGGGCTTTCTGACTGGCGCAGAGACGGCTTGCAGGGCTGTGGGATTCAACTGGTTGGACTGGAAGGCCAGCATTTCCGAAAGCGCGTCCAACGAGTTTGCGCCAGTGCAGAAGTCAAAGTCCAGGATATCCGCCGTGGGGTTTGTTGGCATGGCAGGCATGTCGAAGTCGAATTCAACATCATCGTTGACTAGATCTGTAATATCTGCCGGTGTTTGTGGAAATCCCATATCAGTAGACAATTCGGCTGCGTTAGTTTGCGGAATTGCGGCTTGCGCACCAGGCCTTGGTGGATAAATGCAAGATAAGTGCTGTCTAGTACATCGTGCACAATGAGGCTGTTCCAAACCGCACTTGCGTTTCGCTTTAGCGCACTCTGAGCAAGACTTTTGCCTGCCTTGGGAGTTTGTGGTTCGCGTTCGATCTGCTGGCATGTTCGACGCGTCGGGTGTGGAAGGAGGTGAGGCATGCCGCGCCGCCGCTGCTGCCCGTCTTCCTTGTTAGTCAGCACCAGTGGGACGCCTCATCCGAGCTAGAACGACTCCTGAATTTCTTACGACTACGCTCCATAACAACCAAGATTTGTCGATTCGTCGATTTCCATGATTTAATTAATCTAGCGTACCTAATGCATCACTAAAATGCGTGGCATGTCTGCTCGATTTGATTACAAGTTCCAACTGCGCTCCGCTCGCGCAAGCGGTTATGCGGACTTCCGATTCACAGACCACAGAATTCGACGCAACTACCAAGCCATCTCCTCAGGAATGTGAGGGTTCAGAGTGGTAGAGATCCTCAACGCGCAGCCTTTTCCGTCTAGTCTGGCATGCCTTGCGGCCTATTCACTCTTCAACTTGCGAACTGTTGAATCCCCTCTCCCATGTCCTCGGTACCAACTCTTCACCCGGTACACCACATAGGCTGCTGCACACATCGTCCAAAACACGGCGTCAGAAGCAGCTTGCTTGGCTTCTTCCGCGGATGTCTTGGGTGAGTCGCTCCTCGAACGTACTATCACACGCTGTGATCGACCTCTCGACCTTTTCCAGGCTACTGCAAGACTAGCCATGAAGACTGTTGATCCAAACCATACTCGCCCAAACACTATCGGAGCTCCATATCCGCCCATCATAGCGCTGGTGCAAGTCGCAAAGATCGAACCGGCGACGACGTTGCCAATACCCGCTTGGATGATCGCTGCTGTACTGCCTACGGAATATCAGTGTCTTTTCTTTACGACCAACGTCTCGCTGTGACCTACCAGCGACGATTCCAGCTGGTCCAAATCCCGTAGCCGAGAGCGCTGTAGCTGTGGCGATGAGCGCGACGAGAGGCACCACTATCAGCGCGGTCTCCCATGGGTGTAGCTTGATCCATTCGCCGATTGCCTTTGCCGTACCGATGAAGCCAAGTTTCTTGACCTTCTTGACAGCTTCGGTCACAGCATCTTTGGCTTGTGTGGTCAGGGAAGTGGCCTTATCGGCGACGTGTTTCCAGATGACTTTGATGTCATCATTTGCTCTCATGGGGCTGTGACGCTCCCTAGGCAGTGTATGTCCCGTGGTGCCGTCTTCTCCATTATCGCCCGCAGGCATCTCAGGCTCGGCATTGCTACTGGATCTGTCTTCAGAACTGTCGCTTGTGTAGTCAGTAGGGTCATGTTCTATCTCCTCGTCGTTTGCCTTGCTCTCTGTTTCTGTTTGTTGCGGCGCGGTCGGCTCCCTTGCCGTAGTAGTGCGAGCCGCACGTAGCATTCCAAGCCATTTCGGTGTCAAGATGAAATGTGCCATATCGTTTGACTAATGGTTGGCAGCGGTTTTGGGGAAGAATCTTTGCTTTGATCTCGAGATTGACGCGTTGCGAAGGTCCAATCACGACCTTGACGACAATGCGGGGCTACAGGTTTGTCCAATTGGCTGTGGCTTGATTCACGCTCACCATGAAGCACACCGCACCTTCCCCGCTTGGTGAAGAAAAGAATACAATGGAGCATTCTCAATACAGCAGATTTCCTTGCGGCTTGCAAACTACAAAATCTCGGTTGATGGCGCGAACAAAAGTTGGAGGTCACATAAGGACAGCGACATATGCAAGATACTATAAGAACTTCAATAAACCCCTTGGATGTTGATTGCCATATGTTCACATTACGTATAGACGGGACCTTCTATTGACAAAAAGGTAGATAGCCTGATTCATCTGCCATGAGCTCGTTGACTTCGTTATCGACGAAAGCGCGATGCACCTCCTTGGCCTCCTCTAGCTCGCACAACAATCTATTCCGTTCCCAAATAGTCCATGCGGCGAGGTCGCGACATGCCTTCGTGGCTTTCTCGGCGGTCTCCTTCGCCATCTCCAGTTCGAGTTTCAGCCTCACGTTTTCCTTGACCATACTTTCATAGTCCTCTTTTGTGATGAGATTGTGGGAAGGTGAGGGTGGAATAGGATCTTGACGGAGCATAGGCGATGAGGTACAGTGATTTTGGAAAGGCGTGAAATGGTAAGAGCTGGGGGAAGCTTCGTCGGCTTTGCCAGGAGGACGTTTCTGGTACTCTGAGAGGTATACACATTCGCCGTAATGGGTGGTGATCAATGGATAGGACGGACGAAGTTCGAGCGTTATCTCATTCCTCGGCAATCCACTGCTCGTGTTGTTCAATGTGGGATCTGGAATGCGTTGCTATGATATTTGGTTAGTGTTGATCATTTCTCTTAACCACTAATGATGATAGTGAAGGACTTACATTGGCAGAGATACTCCTCTGGGTATCGCCCATTGCGCCAGACGGATCGCGATTCAGCTCCATTGTCATATCCTAAAAGTCCCCAGATACGAGTGTATATGATAGCGACTACTCGAGATATGGCGGCGTGAAGACGAAGAACCATTGGGCACGAACACTCACGTGCACCCAGGTGTCCACCTACGTTAGCGCCTTGTCGCGCGTCCCCGTGTATTTCCAAGCTCCGCAATCCCTCACTGCTTGTTTTCCCGTTGTTCATGTTTACACAATATAAACATGCCTGTAGAAGGCTAGCTTGCCGTACAAGTCACCGGATGTGTACCGCATAGTCGACTGGGACCAAGGTGGTTTCCAAACTTAACTTTCCAAGATCGAGAATCTTCACGCCATTATCTCCATCTGACGTATCGTGATTATGGTTGTCTTCTTCACAAATGCAAGGTAATTCCGTTGATTATCTGCGTTAGCCTCACAGGTTAGGATGATTCAGTTCATGTCATGTATATAAGTGTACGTGTTGCCCAAGATGATGCGCGACGGGATCGAAGAGATCTATGCTGTGCATGCAGTTCAACACTAGTATCGGCAAGGTGCTCGCGCTATTTTCATGTGATTCATGATTGAAGGAAAGACGAGAGCAGCTGCCTATGTCAGTGTCGATTGAGACAAGATTAGAACAGTATCATTGCTTATTCGTTTGTGTCAACGTCTCAGAAGGGAGGTGAGCATGACGGAAGAGAGAGAATCTGAATGAGGAACCACATCTACATAACGAAGATCGCCGATTACTAATGTAAGACATGCAGAAATCGATGAAACATCGTCCTGTTTCTGACCACGCGCCTGCCGTAGTAATGGCCAGGCAGATATACGGCGTTCAACTGTCAGCAATCTTGCGGCAGGCTCGTTCGTTTTCGAGGATGAGATCTACCGATAAACGATGATATCGACTCTGAGGAATGAAGACAAATTCAGAACAGATGCATCTAGTCATGGTATCTTGGCGTGAACTGGACACAGCATGTCGCCTCTTTCCTTCACCGCTCATACCGGTTTGTTCAACCTGGTCTTCCTTCACCCGAGGAGTTCACCGCGCCTTCCTACACTGACGTGGCAATTACCTAGTATGACAGCTCATATTGGAATATCACGTGGCTTTGACTCAGAGACACACCTACCCGATCGGGTGTGTACAAGTCAACAAAGCAATAGGCCTCAGCGCGTTGTTGTCAACACTGAACACGTACACCCACAACAACCCACGCACACGCGCATTGCCAATCCCATAAAGTCAACATGGCGCACTTGTACGTCATGAAACCACTGTATGGCCCGGATTCGCCTACGCTCGCGGTAAACCCTGAAGCTCCTGTGTCCGAGGAAGGTGAGATACGAGAGCAGAGTGAGACCGCATCCTCCGAAAATTACATACACGATACGCGCCGGCAGCTGATACAGTCTTACCGTAAGTACTTCCTATCACTGCCATAGACTTAAGTGACACCCAGAAGAACCCAATGAAGTCGATCATCAAGTCGACCAGTGTCGAGAACCGACTGGCGCCAACAAGCAGCCGATAGGCATCAAGAGCGAACCACCAGCTACTCAATGTGATCTGCCTGTAGGCGAATTCTCGTCCCTCCTACGTATCGAGACTCCTGCGCCTCTTCCGCCGCTGGTGGGAAACAATGCACATGAGTTGAGGTATCCGGTCGAGCGGTATTTTCCTCCAGCCGGGATATACTATGATCAGCTCGCTCTACCCACTGTCTTTGGCACCCGCTTCTTCAGGCAGGAGTGTTGTAAAGTCTGTTGGAAAGCGCATTCCATCCGCGCGGGCGGTTCAGCAACCTCTTGCGGAAAGAAATGCCAGGTCTGTGGAACAGGCCGCCACAAGCATGAGGTAAGATTCGCCAAATATGTTCAGTAGGATGCTAATTAACCTTGTTAACAGAGCTGTCCACTATTATACTGCACCGCTCAATGGTACCGAGAACACAGCATTCCACACCACCCAAAGACCCTTCAAGACAGACAGATACGTCCTGAAGATTGAGAGCTGGCCATATTGTGTGACATTGGTGTCCTGGATAGAACACGCGGCCCCAACGGTATCATAATCGCAAAGCCAGATCATCCAGTTGTGAAAGCCTTCTATGACGGCCGACCCAACCCACAGGCGATGACAGCCAGGATCATGGATACGGAGCGAAGACCCCGCTCAGTATTCATTACCACTGCCGAAGGATCCTTGTTCGTCCCAAATGTCCAATCTCAACAGCCGCTCCCACTGCCAAAGCGCCCATTCAGCCTACCAACGACGACCGTCAACAACAGTCTTGATCCTCGGCTCCAAGATCCTTATACTGTCACGTTTCCAGCTCAACACGAGAGTATTAAACAGGAGATCGTGATGGACCACAACGATGTAACCACAACCAGCCTACCAGATACTGAAGACAAGCTTGAAGAGCAGGGGATAGAGATTCTGAAGTTGAAAATGGAGGCTGCTATTAAAGATCGTGAGGTTCGGAAGCTCAAGGCGGAGAATGATGCGCTCAAGACGGAGATCGAGAAGCTACGCATCTATCCCATCAGCACCGGGGCACCTTCGAGACTGGGAGCAAGCGGCCGCGCTCCTACCTTTAGTAACAACGCGTTAAGCGGCAGCGGACAGACTTTGTCGAGTGAGTGTACGAGTTTAAATAGATGTATTCACACACTATGTGACGATCTCCAATGAAAACCGATGATATGTATAATGAAATGTGTAACGACTTGCATTGTTGCATGGCAAGAGTGACCTCGGGAGAGTGACCTCGGGAAAGTGGAGATGGAATGACTTACCTACAATAGCGGCAAACCTTCACTTGCGATCTTCCGATAGTCGGTCTTCTTCGCGATTCTCACCCAGCCGGCTCATAGCGCATCCCACTCGCCATCGCAGCTACGCACCGAATCTCCTGATTTTGCATTCGCCCCGCATCAATCTGTAATGGTAGCGCGAAAATTACTATTATTACAGATGGTCAACGGCGCAGATGGCTTAAGAGACTAGTGAATTAGCGAGATGTTTACGCTTGCTAGGAGTATGCGCTGCGCGAACAGGAAGAACGTGAACGGCGAAAGTTTACATGCAACCAAGGAGTGAACGTCTACTGCATTTTCGGTCTGCATGTTGACGCATTTGAAGATATCCCAGGCAAAAGAGACAAATATGCCTTGTGGCTAAGAATTAAACTTGTGATCTGTATACAAATCAGGTTGGAGAGAAGGTAACGGTGATATTGACACATGCGTCATAAAGCAAACAGCTCTACCGGAAACTGCTCAGTGATATTCACTGTAACCAAGTACCCATCTTGTACTACCCTCGGGCTATTCAAATTGGGCTGCCATGCCGCTCCTCTACTGGTACAGGACCAAGATGTTTTCTCCAAGGTTGAGCTCTAATTCAAAGGCCGATGTTTCGTTCCCGGCTGATCCCTTGACCGACAACTCTTGGACAATAGGATCTTCGATACGTTCGAGAAACAGGTTCACATCTCCTTGGAGGTCTTCGAGCGTAGGCGTGGTACGACGATTGATCGCAGTCTTACCGGCTGATAATCCTCCTTGTGGAAACAAAGCGAAACGTGCGGTGAGTCCGTCAATGTACTTGTACATTTCTGCTGAAGAGTCGAAAGCCTTGTTGATCCAGCCAATCTTCTCCGCATCCACCGCGTTGATGTCGTTGGCGCTAAGGATGTATTCCATGGCCAGTCCACGGCCGATCAACCCCGGAAGGAACTGAGATCCGCCGCCCCCAGGAATGGTACCACTGCCAACTTCTGGCTGTCCAAATAGAACGTCGTTCTTGACCGCGAATCTCATGTCAAGCGAAACCAGAAGCTCGTTTCCAGCACCTCGCGCTCTACCTTCCACTGCGCCAATCGTGACCTGGGGAAGCTGCGAGATGTTATATATGAGCCTGCTGAAAGCGGGAACGACTTCAGCTACGATAGTCATTAGCCATAAGTATACTAACATATGGAATCGTTACGTACGAAGGTTGGGCACTGTCAAGTCGAGATGACCCACGAAGTATCGAGGAACATCACTCTTGAAGATGACAACCTTGGTTTCGTTGTCTTTCTGGAGCCTTCCGACAAGATCGGTCATTCCATCCTGCGTGTCTTGGTCCCAGAGGTTGCGAAGCGACTTTGAGTTATGAAGAGTGACTTCGAGTATGCTGTTGTTCAGCGATGTCTTCAACCCAGCGTATTCCGGTAGATCCAGCGCGCGAGCTGCTGAGAAGATGCCGAATGCCGTGAGGCAGATGGACTGCCACGAAAAGTTCATCTTAGAGGTTGTATAGTAGGCGATATCTGCGGTGAGGCGAGTGATTGTAAATTGTTGATGTGCCACTATTTCATGTGTTCAGCATAGATATCATTATGTATTGCGAGTCCAAAGCTATGACTTCGCATCATTCACCCCTTTTGTCGTAACTTTCCATCTCATTTCGTGAGTGCTGATGCTCTTTTGCCACGATTGATCAAGAACTGCCTCCAGTCCGGCCGGCGGTATTTCTCAGATCCCGATGTATCACGCATCACAATCGACTTCCAACAGAAAACGTCCGGTTACATGTCCGAATGGTACGTGCTGAATGTCATGGGCCGCGCTAGGCTCGTCGTGGCTAGCCCATCCGATTATTAATCCGTCTCAAACCCGCCGCCCGGAGTCTTCATCAACCCCGATTGTTTACTGAACAAATTTCGGATGTTTACAGGCCTGGGATAAGGCATCTTGGCTTTTACAGCCCCGCCTTTCTACTTAACTTTCCAATGATTCGGTGGTTATCCCAGTCAGTTCCAACGGTCGAGAGCAGCGTTGCCGGTGCTACGACATGACGCTTATTCGATAAGCTCTACGAAGCTCACTCAAGAACATTCAATAGCCACGGATGCCGGTATAACACTAAAGCCTGTGATCTGGTGAGTAAATGTATTAGCGAGCGCATGATGAATGATCGGTTTGTCATGCGAGACTGGCAGCTCTACGCATTTTCTCCAGTACCGAGGCAGCAACGATGTGATTCACCAGTAGTAGATGTCTAAAGGAACGGTCTTAAGAGACGCTCATCTCTTAGCTTATTCGAAACATAACGAGCACTCTCATCAGCTGCGCCAATACTCTATCAAGCTACTACGAAATGGCATCTCCAAGCTCATCCAGCCCGGTGAATAGAACTGCTCTAGTTCTCATCGACGTTTACAATGAATTTCTTCACCCTGAGGGAAAGATCAACCCTTTTGTCAGCGAATCCATGGCCAAGACGAACACTTTAGACCATTTACAAGAGGTCGTCAAAGCAGCTCGCAAGGCCGGCATACCGATCTACTATTCTTTGCATCAGCAATGGAAGGAAGGTAACTACCAGGGATGGCTTCACATGAACCCAACAACATCTGGAATGAGCCAGCATAGGCTGCTCCAGGAAGGGAGTTGGGGAGCCGAGATCTATCCCGGACTAGAGCCAGACGTCCTCGGAAATAAAGACGTTGTAGTTAGTAAACACTGGAATAGCAGGTAAGTGCAATCACTTTGCGTTCCTATGATTGGATGTCAGGACGAGAAACGTTCTTCGTTGGCTCACATGATCACCATTGGACTAACGATATCGATCAGTGGATTTGCGAATACCGACCTCGACTACCATCTACACCAACGCGAAATTACCCATTTAGTAATGGCAGGAATGATTGCAAGTACATGCCTTGAATCCACCGCAAGGTATGGAAGAGAACTGTAAGTCACATTGTTTCCGCAATAGATTCGCACAATGAAGAATAGACACTGACCTTGCTGATTATAGTGGATACCATGTGACGATACTGTAAGTTGTGATAGCTCTATATGATAGTACGTGACTGATATGTTGTCATTAGGTCTGACGCCACGGCTGGTCATTCGCCTGCCCACCACGATGCAGGAAAGAACCTGATCTGGCCGCTTATCGTAGATGAAGTGAAGACAGTTAGCCAGTGGGCTGAAAGTCTTGAAGAGGATGCGAAGAAAGATAATCGAGTCAAGTCCGGCTTGTAAATTATCTTTGATGCCAGTGTAATCATGCATTAGCCACTTTGAGGCTCAATACACCTTCCATTCTGCTCCTGTTGTCCCCGTCCATACGACTCAAATCTTGACATGATGACAGTGGTCTATGTGCAGGTATTGCTCACCCAGCGTTAATTACATGAAATTTCCTACGCGGCTCCGAGTCAACATATCGCTCAATCTGATATCCTCTTTCGATATTCAGGTCCGAGGCCGCTCCGTCCCTAGGCGCTTATCTTGTTATCCATTGCGCATGGAGTTCCTCGGTATGGGAGTACACAAGAACACTTCAGTACTGGTGGATGATCATCAGGACGCACCCCAAGTACATTTTTACGCAAGTTCAAAAGCTCTGAATTGTCAGTGATGTTCTACAAGAGTTGTCAGTGACTGGTTCCACCGATTTAAGATTAGCGCAGGATGTCGCCATCTCGATCTTCCTTAGGCTCGCTCACGTTCTGATTCTAAGCTAACACGTTCTTGAATAATGTTTCTTCGTTCTCTAACATGGTTGTGACGCTGAAGCAATTAGACTCAGCCTTCGTTTTGGCACTGTTGAGTGCCGCTTATGAACAGGCGTCGCGACGTGACGTCTCCTTCACATCCTGGAACTGAAATAGCAGCATTTTGCCGCGGCAAGCAATGGGAAAAACAATAACTTTCTGGACCGCCTTGTGGCCTAGCTGCTTTCGATGCTGGATGAGCATATGAGCCACACCTTGACCATTGGGCGACCCTAACAACGCATTGAACTCGTTGGATCCTGGGTAATACGTCGTTCCTGGCCACTGTGTTAATGCGAAACCGCAGTGCGATTCCATAAAGTCCAAGGCAAAGCAAGTCCCATCATTTATCACATCATACCTAAGTACAAAACGCAAGTTGGAATCCGGCTCGGCTTTTGACAACCATTGGAGGTACGCTATATCTGACCAGTGGTTTAGAGGTGGCACACGCAATCTTTTACGCCCGTTCACGCGTTGTGCGGTAAAATTGTCGTAAGCAACTATGATCCCATCTGATATATTTATGACTTGGCATAAGAGCGCGTTGGTCGCTGGAAATAACATTCCTTCGACAACCACCGGTGTCTTGTGTGTATGGCTGACAGGTATATTCGGGCTAAGTAATCGCGTGGATTTTTTACTTACCTCAATGGTATCCAGAACGCTATCGATACCTCGTAGCTCGGACGCATCGTTGTAATTGTATGTGTCGTAACCCCATTCTTGAAGGTCTTCAACATCGGTGAAGCTGCTTTGTGCGGAGCTCGTCGATTCGGCGATCATCCACTTAAAGAGCCTGGCGCCTTTGGTGACCAGTTCTTGAAAGTCCGCTTTGTGTTGCAAATAAGCGGATTGCCTTGTCTCGTTCGAGCTCTTTGGTTCCGGTCGTAGTTCTACGGTGAGCTCATCGAATATTGCTGACACGTCGGAATTTGCATCTTGACCCGCACTCGATGATGCCGACATATGCGCTCGTCTCTCCGACATGGTCTCCGGAACAGGTTTGCGAAGCATATTGAGGGAAAGTTAATCTGGGGGTGTTGGACAGTAACAAATGATCTTGAATTGCCGGTCATGCACAAAGTATGATGGAATGTTGAGAAACAATGTGAATCAACAGATCGATCCTGAGAGACCGTTGCACAGTGTCATATTCAATGAACCAAAAGACTCTTGTTGGATGATCGCATAAGCGGGTCACATTTGCAATGTGAAGACATCTGATTCGAAGTTCAGAAGCCGTCTCGCGCTCGCGAACGAGCAATTCCGTTGACGTGGACTCAACACTACTTGGGTACCGACGACCGATGGATGGTCATCATCATCTCATCAACAACCAGCTTCTGCTTGTATCGAGGTCAGTAGCCTAATTCCGAATTGACACGCAATGCATCTGTGAAAAGGTGTACGAAACGATGGGGTTTAGACGGCTTGAGCGAGTCCTAATCTTGGGCGGCATTGGAGATGCAAGCGTGTCGGCGTTCGAGACACCGACGCTATGCTCAATCAATCGAGAACCCCGCACCATCCCTGCAAGGAGCCGCAGATGCTATAGGCCACCATCTAACTTTCTCTACTCTGTCGCGGCCGCGGTACCGCCTCAACCAATCCTACGGCGCCAGCTGCTCGCTCTTCGCCTTCTGAGTCGTCTTCAGTGGAGGCGCCGTTCACATTAGTATCACAGTTCAAGTGATATCTTGTTTACCGAACGTTCCGGAGACTGCCGGCCCCGATGGGTTCCTTTATTGCAAGCGCTCACGCTCGATGAGCTTACCATTCAGACATGCATCCAGAACCCATAAAACGACGCGAGCCACACGAGTATGTCAACTCAGTCAACTGCATTGACGTGCAGATATTGCGCCGAGACCTTCCAGCGCAATGGTCACCTTCAGCGTCATCTTCTTCGTCATACAGGCTCAAAACCTTTCAACTGTAGGCTATGCTCGAAATCCTTCTCAAGGAGGTATGTGAATCAGCCTCCTTTCAGTGTTGTAGCAAGTGACTGATGTTCCGGAGCGATACGCTCTATCGGCATCGTCTCACCCACGCTCGGGCTGAACACCCACATAGTGATGGAAAAAGAGCCTCACGAGCATGTGCTTCTTGTGTGAAAGCAAAGCAGCGCTGCTACGGTCAGAATCCCTGTGCAAGATGTCATCGGAAGCATCTATCATGCAAATTCAACAACGATCAATCCAAGAGCGCCTCTCTTGCTCCCCCAACAAGCAATACTTTCGCGACCCACACGTCGTCCGAAATCGTTCACGAGCATGGAACTGACATGACGCCGCCTGATTTCAGTTCGGATCCAGGATCCACAACTGTCTCCCTTGAGACAACGTCGCAAATTACCGATGCTGCGCTGCTACGTCGGTCCCCCATATCTATCCCCATGGGCGATACCCTATCTGAGGGAATGCACGGCACAGACTGGTCTGGTCTTTCGCATATATCTGGCTCTGGAAACAGAGCGGATTCCGAATTACCCACGGACTTTCCTTCAAACGGAATAAACTACTTCAATGAGTTGTCTACCGACTTCAACTTACCACTCGCCTGGATGATCCCAGTGAACGAAACTTCCTTTCAGATGCCATGCGCGCTCGAGTCAGGTATATCAGATTCCTACATATCCAGTTATGGCAATATGGTCGCTATAGAGCCCACTGATAACGACGAACTTCCAAGACCTGAGGTCGAATCTCGCATTACTGTTGAGGCCCACAGCAGGGTCTTGGACAAGACTGCAGGCACAGTAGATTCCCATCTGACGCACTCATGCCCGTCGTTTCCTATGCTCGAAGGGAATGCATTACAAATTGTAGGCGCTGAGATTTTCGGTCATGTAAGCGCAATACCTACAAAAGCCTACACAGATGCACGCTCCTTCTACATCTCGGAACGCGGTCATGATGACATGCTCTTTCCTCACTCTCGAATGCTCCATGCTTTTGTAGAGTTGTACTTCGAGTATTTCGATCCATACCTTCCCTTTTTGCATCCAGTCAGGGTTGAAAGAGGTGACATATGCGGAGTCCTTCTAATAGCAGTCGCCGCCATTGGAAGTCAGTACTCTGAAGTGAAAGACGCACCCACGTATACTACAGTCCTTCACTACTTGCTACGAAAAGCTATCAATGTTCATGTAAGTTTGCATGCTAGATCAAAGCGGTGAAATCTGACGCCCTTGGTTTCTCTAGGTCTTTACAAGACGAACAGAAATATCTTTCGCCCAGAGCGTGCTACTGCGGGATGTTGGACTTCTCGCCTCTGGTCGCAAATCAGACCATGCCGTGTTGCAGCGAGAGCGAAACATGATCACGAACTTGTGCCGCTCTTTATCCACTCACGCAGGTGCCCCTGACAGCGAGGACTTTGTAGTAGACCAAAATTTAGATCACAGATGGATGCCATGGTTGCAAGGCGAAGAAGTTGTTCGTCTCGTTCACTGCGTATACAGTAAGTTGAACGATGGAGATATTATTAACATAACCTTTTGACACCTCAAATAGCACTAGAATGTTTTCAGTTGATCTTATTCGACCAGCGTCCGCTCTTCAGAGTCACAGATTTCGCCCAGCGCTTGCCTTGCACTGATGTTGTCTGGAAGTGTCGCTCTGAGCGATCATGGAATGAGCAGAAGCGTTACAAGGCCTTCGACAACCAAGCATCAAGATTCGATCACTTCGCCAGCAATATCCAAATCTTAAGTCTGTACGCTGACGAGAGAGCTATTTTGGACCAGGTGCGATCTTCACAACGCTTGAGCGCCCTATTGAAGCCCGAATTGGCGACCGCACTACAAGAACAAGATGTCAACTCCAACCGAGATAGTCTGCTATCCTCTGGGGTCTCTCCAGATGACATTACATACTTGGACCAAAGGATTGAAGACGCCATCGCATCTACACATCTCTCATGCCATGCTGTCGATCATACCATGTACGATCCAGTTGTGCACGTCATTTCTATACTAAGGAACATCCCACTACGGATGATTTATGCCTCAGTAGGATGGCAAGCGAACCTCGCTGAAATGCAAAAGACAAGGGAAAGACTGAAGGAGTATTTGCGACGCAACCCCGATACAGCCAGGATATGCTTGTGGCACGCAGCTCAGATATACGCGTTTACTCGGAATGATCGTTATCCTGCATATTATGCAACCCTTTCGTTCGCTATCGCTGTCACCTACATACTTCTCTATGACCAAATACTGGGCCAAAAGGATACGTCAGGGGATCTAGTTCGTCTAGACAAGATCAAAGAAAAGATCGACATAACTGCATGGGCAAGGGACGGCGAGGGTTCGAGAGTACATATCACAGGTATCGGCATATTGGATAGCACTGAGAGCAGTCAAAGATTACTAGCTGATGCAGGGAACATCTTGCGATCTCAGAGACCTTGGCGAGGCATCTCGGAGGATCTCGTAGGCTGCTTTGCACAGATGAGTCAAGGAAGGATGCCAAGGGGTATGTGAGGTATCCGTCATGACGCAGATAGGCTTCATTCTCCGTCCTTCTGTGGCAAGACGATTAGATACAACTTCAGCAGTGGCATGACCAGCTTAGCCACATAATGTACCACAACACCCAGGAAGCCATCCAGGTTTATGCTGGGAAAGGTAGTTCCTCCGCTCTTCCGAACCCAAGAGAAAGCTCGCGGTATCATGGCTCTTTCGTACTTTTCGCACGCATCCTTCACTTCCTCATATGTCGGGTGTTCTGGGCCGACACTGGCTAATGAATTCAAATGAAGCAGCCGAGGAAGTGCGTCGGCACAATCTGCCAGCGCCTGGTTACCTCCCTGGCCGCGATTGGGTTGCATAGCATGCATGGCATCTCCTATCACCCACACCCGGGGATCTCCCTTGCCATCTCCCTCCTCCTGAGCTCGTAACCGCCAATCCGTTCTGGGTTGTGTACTAGCACGTAGTTGCGTAACGAGCATATTGGTGTCACCGGACTCGTCGTCTCTGATGTCGATCATCCTATGGAACTCCGGCGCCCATTCCTTGATCGCATCGCGACAAACCTTTCTGTGGTCTTTGACCTCCGAGACTTCCTTGAAGGGAATTTTGTCGACTGGGACAACCAAACCCCAGTAGAAAGATGCTTCCGACTCGTTATATTGCAACGCAACCTTTTTGTTGACGCCCTTGTGGTGTTCGTCCGCCACCTCCGCTTCTGGGAGATACAGAGCATAGTAGAACGACATACTTCCGGCGAAGACGATGACAGGTCCTTGACGCAATTTGGGAGGCAGGCTCATCATGCGATTGAATGGGAGGTTCCCCTTCGTTAGGAAAGCCCAGTGACTATCCAAAAGCTTGATGTTGTTCAAGCCAAGCTGCCTGTTTACCTGGACAACCGTTAACCCTTCATCTACCCTAACATTACGTCACACCAACCTTGGAGTTCGCCCCATCAGCTCCTACGAGCACATCGCACACATCATCAGTACCGTCGGAGAAGTAGACCTTAACCCTCTCTTTGCCAGTCTTCTCAGTGATAATCTCGTAGTGGTCAAACCCCTTTCCATACTTGATCAAGCCGCTCTTCTTTATCGGCTCAAGCAGTATGTCTCTTAAGACGACCCTGTTGATACCAGCGGACTTTGAATAAGTAGGCAACTGCGTTAAGTCGACGATTTCTTGGAAGTTCGTGTTGAAAAGGGAAGGCGCTGTTGCTTGTGCCCCGGAGGACTTTCCAAGTTTAGCACTTATCTTGCCAATGTGGTCATCAGTCAAGCATGCGCGAAAGCCTGCCTGAGATCCAGGTCCTAATCGGATTTGGTAACCCTCTCGATTGGAGTCCGCTCTATCACGCTCGTAGACCATGACTTGGACGCCATCGTTTCGGAGACCGTTCGCTAAGAGAGCACCTGCCAGGCCGCCGCCAACGATGACAACTTTGAAATCGGCCATTTCGAGAGACGAGAACAGATTTGGAGAAAATTGTTGATAGATAACGGGCAAATGAAAGGATTGTGGACACGCGAATGATTATAAACTTGGAGTGGCCGTCTTCCACTACCCCGGCTTCAACAACCACCGACTAACCCGCACTTCGACGATTCAGTAGCCTAGCATATACGTTGTCAAACGCGGGGTTACTCAATCACTATGACCGACTGTGTCGGCCCATGGTGGACACTCTGTGTGGAGTGCACGCCATGTGGTAATGAATTGTCGAGTCAGGAGATGTTCATTGGTCCCACCATGAGCCGCCGGCCCCACAGACATCCCCGTCACTTTACTCGGCTTCGCACAACGATTGCCAGACCATCCACAGCGAACAGCGATGCATCGGCGTCTATTTTTGACCGGCAGCCGGAGGTGTGTATCCATTCTCGCAGGGCAGTTGCAAGGAACGTATGCACAACATTGAACACATGACGCCGATTGGGGTAGTGGAGGTAGGAGCTACCCTTGCTTTTGCGTAAGGGAAGTTGCACATACACTGCGACTATGAAACACAGACTTTCACTATGAGGTTCAACTTCCTCTGACATGCCCGAGCAATGGCATCAGCGGATCAACTTTAAAATATCTCGACTTCTATACAAGAATGACTAAATACTGATGTACAGTAGCCCATAGCTAGATGTCTAGGTTTGTGCATTGCCCAGGCATTAGGCTCAGTACGCTAGAGGTTGTCTCCTTCTCTACGCTTGTCGTAGCTCCTGTGACATCTACTTTGTATGGTGCAATGCAACTGGACCAGCGATCAGCCGTAATCCCTCCAATGCAGCAATATTGATCGACTTACCTATCGTCATGCAGACACCAGATCACTGTTTCCGGTTGATCGAGCCACCGAACTTGCTTTACAGCAAACTGTGCAGCCGATCCATTGAAGGGACGTCCATCGTGGTTCGCTCTCCCAGCGATAGCGAGAAGCGCAATCTTCGGCTTGGGCTCTACTCTCGAGATGACACCCTCATAGGCACCTAGATGAGCGTTCCACAGGATTGCGCTACCATTGATGATTATATTGAACATGAGCTGGCCACCATCGCAATGTGAGAAGAGATTGGTGCTCCTGTCGTGGACATAGTCAAGGAACGAACGCATCCCGTCATTCATCTTGTCCTTTGGTACGAGCTTATCTAGTTGTAAGAGGCCATACTTCATCCCATTGGTAATGTCCAAAGTGCACGTATAAGGAGAGGCTTCTCCAGTGTACACGACTGCAGTGTCCATCAGATCGGGATGAGGATTGGGCATAAAAGCATGTAATGATGGCCAGACATGTACTGCAAGAGAAGCGAGAGAATGATCAGGCATTTTCGGCTGGTCTGGAAGAGCTTTGGCTGTTGGAACCTCGCCGCGCCTTGCTTGATCCCTCACAGTACGCGTGAAGAGCGGTATACGTTCTCCGCCAGATACAGGCATAAGTTGCTCATCCGGGACGCCAGCGGAACGAAGGAGATTGATAGCTTCGCAATTTGCAACAACGATGGCTCCAGTTTTAATCGCGATGCGATCGGCTCCTGGAAGGTGGTCGAAGTGGGCGTGAGAGATGAAGATGTAATCCGCTTCGTTCACGTTGTCAATAGCCAAATATCGCGGCAATACGGAGGGCCGGTCGAGCCACGTATCCAGAAAGATAGTAATCCCGCTGGTTCGAAGGCGAAATGTTGTCGCACCTACTGAAGTCAGCGTTCCATCTTATCGTATAGATGCCACTGAACCATACCAAACCATTCTATTGTAGTACCTGTCATCGTGTTTGGCATGAACTTCGAGCGTATCCTTCTGATCAGGTGTATTCAAGATGACTATGCATGCACGTAAGAGTAGTCAAAGACTTACTTTATGTTTGGCACCAGGGTCCGTAGGTTGCCTACTAGCAAGTCTTTGGTGGGGGCGTAGCCGACGGGGAACGCGATCTACTACTAGACTATTCTCGGCCGATTCGGAAGAGGGCGGGGATTGAGCACACGAGGCTGAGGACACGCCAGTATGTGCGACGAAGCTAGTGGGCGCCACTCACGTTTCGTACATTGATTCGTACCATCAGGCTAATGATCTCTTGGATCTCCCGAATCGCAACATTGTTCATTGCATACCACATAGTTTTGCCAGCTTGACAGATGTGACGGTGTTCTTGTTTACTTCCAGTCTCTATCTCTCACTACTTTTGCGCTTGCTTTGAACAAAACAGATGCCCGATATATTTATCAAGCCTGAATTCATATTCTCGCTGTCCTCATTCAAGTCTTCAGCACTACAACTTGTCCTCATGTACGTAAGTACGGATACCCGTCCCCTCGAACGCGCTAACAAAGTAGTCTAGCTGTCTGACATCGGACTCCGTCACTGTTTCGTCGATCGTGAAGCGAAATCTTGCAACTAACATTGCGAGCGTGAGTGTGATCTCCGCATATGCAATGTTGATTCCGAGACACTGCCTTGCACCCTTGGAGAAAGTTACGAGATACCTCTCCAAATCTTTTGCATCTGCAACTAGCCATCGGGATGGGTTGAATACTCTGGCATCTTCGCCCCAAATGCTCTCGTTATAGTGCATCGAGTAGGCAGACATGCCGACAATGGTTCCGACGGGGATGACCTTCTCGTCAACGACGAGTGGTTTCGTTCCGTTCGGTACAACTCGCGGAAGTCTTCCAGGCACTGCCATAGCGCAGCGCAATGCTTCCTTTACACAAGCAGTCTGATCGCGTTAGCTTTGTTTTGCTATTCATCCAAGAATCATACCAGATATGGAAGTTGCTCGAGTCTAAGAAGGTCAAAATCGTGTTCTGCCGTAATACCAGCGTCCTTCATCTCATTCCTCAGATTAGTGAATATTGTCGGGTTCTCTATAATTGCTTGGACGGCAATTGCGAGGGTTGTAGCCGTTGTATCAGATCCTGCAATCAAGATGTCCGAAGCTTCAGCCTGCACCAGCTCATCGTCCAGATGCTGCATGGCATCGAACACGATCTCACGGTTCAGGCATTTACCGGAACTTTTCAAACGTCTGAAGTTGGCTACTGTAGCAGCAACCGCACGAATGAGGCCCTGGAACTTCGCTGCTGGCTCGCTAAGTCTTGCTGCGACAGCGGGCGGACATTTGTTAACGATGGTTCGGATGAAGGGGAAGAACAACAGGTCCCATAGCGATTCTGAAGCCAGGTCAAAACATTCAATGAAAGGTGTGTTGAATGTGTTGTCTTCAGACTCGATAGTCAGATTGAAGGATTCTCCGAAAGCAACTTCGGTAATGAAGTCTACCGTTAGACATCTGTGACACGTTTGTTAGCTAATCTCCAATTGGTTTGCTCCGATTCTGGTACCTGAAAGCGTGATACAGATTGATCGCGCCATTTCCTTTCATCTCATCTATTCTGTTGCACATAATGGTGACCTTGGCGAGCAAGATCTTGTTCATGGCTCGTACAGATGACTTCGAGAAAAAGTTGCTGAGTAGCTTCCGTCGCGCACGGTGCAGTTCTCCGTCATGCTCTACAAAAACGGAATGGGGCGTGTTGAAAGCATCATAGAAAGACCTTTGTTTAGGGAACGTATAGCGTTGCGAGTAGATGGTGTGGTAAAGCGTGGGATCGGTGATGTGTAGCTCGTTTGGACCGATGCGTAGTACGCGCGTGTCTATCTTATCGTCAATATTCTGTTCGGGGAAACCATTCTAAAGCATACCGTATGTCCGATGAAGGTGCTCGAGAACTTCTTCAATTTTCCCATGCTTGCTCAACGGGTATTGCCACCAACTTGAGAAAATCGCTTTGTAGGGTCCAGGAAAAGATGCCAATGGATGGAAGTAGACCAGGTAAACTGCTCGAAACGATCCCAAAGTGATTGCGAGGGAGATGATGAAAATCGTTAGCTCAAGAAAGGAGCAGTCGCCTAAGGCAGTGCTTGCCAAGCTTTCCTGGAGACGAGGAATGATGGTTGCGCGAAACATCACGGACCAGATAATATGGCAGATAAGTGCAAATTTCGAGCCATTTTCATGGATCTCTCTTATATTATACAGTAGCTACTGTCATTCCAGAGAGATCAACGTTGAAACTCCTAAGTCTGATTACCTTGTGTTGTGGAGAGTCGTCGTACGCAAGCGACCTATTGCCGACGGGGCGGTGGCCGCGGGTCCCTTGAACGTTCTCGTTAGCACCACCAGAGTTCCGACGGGGCTGCCACGTCGGCAACTATGAATCAATGTCCAATGAGAAGCTTGATCGATGTAGGCTGAAGTGCGGAGGTGCCAACATCATGCTATTTGCGCGGAGTTCGCGTTGAGAAGAGGCCGATCCTGTCACCTGCTGCAGTCGACTTGAGACGTCGCGACTCACAGCACCGGAGTTAAACTGACTCCTGACTCACCATGCCCTTGTGGGAGGGTTATGAAATGGTCAAATACATGCAAGCCGCAACGGCGAAAACTTTGGCAAGTAAAACCGTAAACGATGTTCGATGCTATATGATGGAAACAAGATCTCGATCACTCGAGGTGACACATCTCAACTCGACCGAGTTAGGCTGCTAGCTAGCGCTAGAGGTTCACTTTTGGCCGTATTACTCGTCATCATCGTTGCATCAAGCTCGAACAGCATTGTCTGGGATCCGTCCTTGCACTTGTCCCGACTCAAGGGCTCTTACTCGAAGTCGAAGAAATTCTAACTCAGTCTCTAATTCCGTGAGGTGGTTCCGAAGCTTCGTGTTCTCGATCTTATATGCTTGACTTTGTTCCTCCATCCCTCGTATCTTGGTGGTCATAGTGCGGATCTTACACGTGTAGGTGGCGGCTTCTGCCCTCATCTTGGTGTGTCGCTGTTTGATGGCCACGTTGTCGCTTGATATCGTGTTGCTCTCCCGCAGAGGATTGGCATAGGAGGCCATCAGGTTGTTCAAAGACTGAGTCGTTCGGTCAAGGCCACCATGCAGCTCTTTCGCGACCACTTTAGCTTCTTTCTTTTCTCGCTGGAGCCTTACGTTATCGGCTTCTTGGTTTGCAATGAATGGCAGATCACTGGTGGAAGGAATGATATCACTGTGATATGTTAGTAAGAAACGTATAAGTGCTTGGCCGGATTTGCTCACAGAAAACGATCATCCATTGGTACTGTATCGCTTTTTAGCGTTGTTACACCGGGAACGGAACCACTCATCTTGGTATTGGTATAGAGATAGCTGAGCCGAGGATCACGCGCGTTGTTATGCGTGTTATTTGAAACCATATAATGACATTGACGGACTGGTGAGCAATTCGAACACAAACAGATTCTGTGCATACGCAGCTTGGATAGAAGGATTGGCTCAGGGTGTGGGGTTCGACAGCGTGCGGGTATATATAGAGGCCTTGGTAATGAAGGTGAACAAGAATATTCTAGGTACCGCAAGGCCGATACCGCATCATTCGAGCGCTCTTACACCGACACTGCGCTCTCAACCACACCCGCTCTACAGACAGTCCGATCAAGTTTTCGCAGTTCGATCTGATTGACGCAGACACGATGCCGCGCGGTAACCTACTTCGACACCTCTTCAAGCATGGTCCACACACGAGATCAAAATCCCATAAGCAATCGTCGTTAGTCAACAAAGCTGGAAAGCCAGCGGCGATCACATCCGAAAGTCCCTCACAAACACTATCACCTCCACAAACATTCAAGGCCCCTGCCATTCATGTTCTGCCTCGGATTACCGAAGAAGACTCCGTTCCTTCTGCGACCACACCGTCTCCCGTAATCTCAAGCGCAGGAAGCACAGAATCTGATCTCCTATCCATCACCACTGTCCTCGACATAAACGCGCCTGCCTCCCTGCCGATCATTGATCCAGCGACTCTCACCACACGCGATCTCGTCTACGCCGCCATCGATGAGTCCACAACAGCAATTGGTACTCATATCGACACGCTGGAAACTACGCTGGCGCTACTCCAGGCCATCACTGGTTTCAGCGAGACGGTCGAAGTGCTGAATCGGGAGATGGAAGACAAGAAAAGGGTATGCAAAATGAAGCTTAGGGAGCTGGAAGAGTTTGAGAAAGCTGTAGAGAAGATGAGTCTTCCGGATGACGAGGCTCATGTAGCGCAAGATTGATTGTGTCCGCCAATCTAGGAGGTAAACAAGCAATACCAGAACCCGTGCGCGAAGGTGGAACGGATTGCAGATTTGTTTAACTCAAAACTCTGGCTGTCGTTCTTAACGCGTCTCTCTTGTGGCTCACGATCACGTGTCGCCTTTCTGGCTAGCTACCTATCATCACAACGACTATGGTCAAGCGCTGCATGGAGTTATCAATCATACAGAAGTTCACATCATCTGACTACTTAGAAGCAGTGATATATCATGGTAGATAGCAATTTCATGATGACTAACTTTGAGATGTCAGGAGTATATTACAGGACTCATGTAGGTGACAGGCAGTACTTAAGTGATTACTTGTGGTCGCTTTCGTCTTTGTTCGTTCGTAAAGCTGGAGAGAGGACCATGCCAAGAATCAACACATAGTTTAACAGACTGTAGACACTTTCGAACCGGAAAATGGCCTCGACTGCTGCTTAATGTTGGCGAAATTGGCCCGCTTCAAACTCCATCCCACACTCGTCCACTGTCTGACCTTGCTTAGTGATGTGCATGGGCTGTGCGACCTAGCGAGACACTTCTCTACGAATATGAACTAGAGCACTCTTCAACCACCATACTATCGAGCACGTCCTCCGTCGTGCGTATCATGTATTTGAGCGAATACGGAGCTTAGGTAGCTAATTGTGGGTGTCGAAGGCAACTTCAAGAACTCTCTAGTCAGATGACGTACGTCGTGTTACTGATATGATCATGACACCTGGCGTGGCAGTAATTTTTCTGGAGATCACTGGCGCTGCTGAGGTCGGTATAACACGCCAGCTAGTTTCGCTCGTTAGTTGAGATAGAACAGGTTGCGAATGAGATCGCTGTCACCACGTACCAGCATTCGTTCTCTGACCATCTTCAAGCGGGACAGGCACTCAGGGTGAGGCAGCATTGATTGACAAGCACACCGAAATCTTTGAGACACATACAATAGTGGTTTCAGTTATCGTTGGGGTGGTACAGAACCGATGGGTACTGGTCTGACCCCCTACCATCGGAGCTCATGCGCTCGGACACCTTGGTATGTGTCTAGAGAGTGATGTCATGCACGTTGCGGTCAAGATCCACAACATAGACATTATTATGGCATGTTATCACCACGATATACCTCAAAGATCAACATGGTGGTTCTCAATCAGAAAATGCTCATGTGCCTGAGCTTTCGAAATTCTCCTCTGCATGATCCGACTTCATTCGTACCTGCCGGTCACGAGCTCAGCATCCTGACTGTGGAGTGGAGTAGTGCCGGTTCGTGCCGATGCACCGGCGGACGGGAGGAAGCCACTGGTTTCTTCAGGGTCATAGCTAGTTCAATGAGTATTGTAGTAAACCAGCAATCCGCAAGCAGAATATGATTCAAAGGCAATGCATGTTGCCAAGATTGCTAAGGCGTGTTGGTACTGGTCCCGTGGCTGGTAGGGAGTCGCATACTGAACGGAGAGGATAGCGATATAAAGACATGTCGGCACGCGTTGCCCTCAGTGGTGCAGGTTTTGTGCAACTAATGGTGTAGCCGAGACGACGCTAACAGATGTTGAATCGAAAATGTGCTCAAAGTCTGCTATTCCCGACCATGCCTTCCGGGGATCGGGGCTATGACGATCAAGCTGGCTGTGTCAGAAAAAATACGCTGACTCGATGTGTGCGCTTCCGAAAGTTGCCGTATGCTGTCGTGTTGCGCAGCGGCAATGACCGCAGAAGCTCGAAACAGCCATCGGGAACTAAAATCGGGCGACGTCTGGAGGCCTGACAGTACGGCGGTTGAGCAAATGACGCTCGTAGCGGCTCGCCAGGGCAAACGAGATGACGAACTCAGGCAATGCAATGGTACTAACATGAGTAGCTGAGTCGCACGTGCACGAAAAAGGCAGTAAGTATGAGGTTTGGGAAAGGTCCGATACTTCGCTTCATCGGTAGTTGACTCAGGCATGAACATTTAGCGCACGGTCTGCATGATCAGCCTCGTGGCAACCGAGCGGCAAGTGGGACCGATAAAAGGCAGGGATGGTCTGACTAGATGACACCGGCACGCGGGTAAGCACTCTCCATATGGAAGATAGCCGTCTCCTGTTTTCTTGCCTGAAATTTCGTTCAATTTAATTGAAATCTTCTTCTATATACCCATCTCTTCTGTTCCTCGGAGACCTTGTCACTCCAACTCCTTCCATTCTTTTGAACCAGTACATGCTAAACATCGGCCGCATATCATCATACCGCCGACAAAACACCGTATACACATAAAACACCAAACAACACCGCAATCATGCCGCATACGATGTTGACGAAGACGAGTACATATCCATACATTCTCACCACAGTCGCTACGAGAAAGGAAGGCGTTTCACGCCAGGAATTTCACCGCCATAACGAAGAAATTTATGCGCCACTACTCAAGAAGGTTGCTGGGAAGTTGCATCCGCTATCCTGGACAAGGTACTACCATGTCGACGAATCGGAATGTCCTGTTGGAGTTCCTCGTGTGTTGATTGGCGACGATGACGGTATGGACTGGGATTGTATGGGTGTGATGGCTTTTGAAGATGAGTTGCACTTGCAGCAATTCATTGCGTTTATGCATTCGGATGATGCATTGCCAGTGCTGGAAGAAGAGGAGAAATTCGCCGAGACGACAAAGACCAAGCTGCTGTTCATGAAGAAGGGCGTTAGTGTACGGGAGAGTTAGAAAACATGGGTTGTCAGGAGTTCAGGATGGAAAAGTGAAATCGGAAGAGCGACTTTGGGATGGTTTTCGTGAACCTTACGTTCTCGCAATTTGCGAGGCTGATGAGTGGGCTTGATGACCTCTCTGTGAGAGAGTTAACCCTTGCAGAAAGTTGTAGTGATTACTCAATTCGCGGCGCTGGATTTTGAGATCTGCACAATTGCACATCAAGGTTTTCTGAAACGAGTTTATTTTATTCATCTTCGGCCTCTATTGGACGTTCCCTCAAGGTGCTGTTCTCGACATACCTCTCACGCCAGGCTTACGAAGGTAGCCAATTTGCGGCCCAGTCCTCTTGACTCATGGCCGGTCCCCATGATGCCTCCACACCCCGCGTTCTGTTACCCCACCGGTCGTAGCCATCGGACCATAAAATTGGAACCGTGTCAGTAGCCGATTCCAAAGTGGCACCTTCTGCCAATTGTACATCGCCGCCATCCAGGATCCAGATGTGATTCGGAAGCAGGGCCATCTTTTCATGATGATACATATGCCGAATATGTCTGTGATTGGTCTCACAAACAAACCAAAGTTGATCGTCGTCTTTGAAATTGGTATGAGTAACGTGCACCGTCACGACCGTGTTGTTCCAAGACTTCTCGGAAGACGCAGGGGTGAGCTCTGCAGAGCGATACCTTGACCTGGCGGCTTGGTGCATGAAACGAGCGACATTAGGCGACAATGCTGGGTCCGTAGACTGAAGCTTTCTCGTCTCTGGTGTTCGTCTAAGAATAGCTTGGATGTCGTAGTCTTCAAGGCCTTCCACTGCATTACGTTCTCTGGGTATTTGCGTCGTCAAGCACTCCAGTATCTTGCAATGTCTCATCTTGGAACCACTCTTGCTGAATTCGATGATCTTCGTTTGCGATTCTTCAATGAACTCTTGTATCAGCCTTTGGATAATGGGTCGGACTTCTGCGCAAATCAGCTTGCTAGTACGTAGTATAGCTGTGGGCAAGTGCCGTGTGACCAAGATGGCGACAAAACCGTCTATAGAGACTTCAGTGTGCTTGACCTGACGCGGTAGGTGTTCATAGACAAGTAAACGTATCTCCGTGGGAAGTCTCAAAAACGGGAACGACTCGGATTGGGCAGTTGACATATCGGCGTGGAATTATAATTTCTGATGACCAAGTGATTGCTATCGGCTATTGTTACTAAGAAGAATTGAATGAATATCGACGATGTTGGCGGTCGTAGTTGCGCGAACCTAGAGGAAAAATAGGAATGAACGTAAACTTATAGCACCTTGGGAGATGATTGCAAGATGGGAGGAGAGACTTAATGTCTGGTAGATATTCGATTCAACATTAACCTATCGGAGCGTGTGGAGATGACAGTAATGCCGTGATGATGATCCCCGCGTCAGCCGGAAATACCGGATGTCCGTGTCTTGAAGAGCGGCTGGTAGACACAAGAGTATTTGTAGGGTTTGTGAGCGATACCAAGCGTCTGACGGTCGGAGATGATCGGCTGAATGCGCGCGACGAAACTGGTTAGCAGCTTCTTCAGCAACAGTGAATGGCGGCATATGGTAAGTTTATAACATTGAGGTTCGCATGCGAAGCATCAGAATGTTTGAGACGCAGAGTTCACAATCTTTGGGCTTCTACCGTGGTGTTGTGCTCTAATCATTTTAATCGTACAAAAGAGCTCGAAGTACAAGATCGCCTGAAGACTAATGGCACCCTAGAGAGATTTGTAGCGGGTCATAATTTTCCCCACATGGGCGCAGAGTCCGGTAGTTACATTCGGGGGCCGCATGAACAAAGATCTCCAAACCCTTTACATAGAAGGTAGCCATTCCTCGACCCAAGTTTCCTGGCTGATATGAGTAGTCGAGACATCGTTGAAGCAATTGGATTCATAGAGCTCCTGCCAGTCAAGTTTGGCGGGAGTGTTGGTGGCCGTCAGCTTGATCTCCCCACCAGGTGCATGAAGAACCATACAGGTCTCATCCACTTGAGCACATGGATCTGAGTAAAACGAACGCTGGAGCGTTGTGTTTATAATGTCCTTTCGCCTATCAGCATCCCGAACCAGACGACAGTGATCTGCTGTGCTGTCGAAATCGACGCGAGATATAACCGCGATAGTGTTGCTGGTCGCTAATGTAGCTTGACAGATAAATTGTGTGACCTCGCGAGGTGGTTCGGTTTCCTCGGGATGGTAGACGAATTCTGGGTGTCTTTGACTGACTCTAATCATAAGACAGGATCGACCAGGCTACAATGGCTGAGCTGTTTATCCCACATGTAGGTACCAAGATTACGGAAAACTTACAGCAAGCCTTTCACGTTCTGTCGAAACGGCTCTAAGGACATCAATCATTTGCACGTAGGAGTCATGTTCGATGACCCTTGGCTGCGACTCTTTCACAAAGGTCCGAATCAGAGCGGCAACAATATCGTGCGCTTCAGCGTATATTTCACAGCTTGCACGCAACAGAGCTGTTGGAAGGTGACGTGTGACCAGGATGATCGAGTCAATCTTGTTGGTATCTTGATAACAGTTCGCGAGGTGATATCGAAGCTCAGTATGCTTGATCTGACGAGGGAGTCGCTTGTAGATCATGAGGCGCAATTCTGTGGGAAGGCTATATATTGATGTGAGGTTAGCGTTTGTCTCAAATATAGTTCATATAGAAACACATACTCCATGAGGCGAAACGGCTCGAGGCTGCTTTGTGCTGACATCGTAGCGGCAGGCTCGGTAGGTGCAGCAACGAGACGCTCCATCGTCTTGTTTTGAGCGCGATTGTAGTAATCAAGCGATTGCCAGAGTTGAAGTGAGTGCGAGGCAGGAGTAGGCCGCACTAGCGTCGCTTGGCGTGCCAAATGGGTGGTGGGCGTTGTGGTAGCAGAAAGGTATCCGTAGTCGCCTAATTAGGTCATCACAGTGTGAAATCGTTGAATCGCTATACATTGGGACTGGGTCACTACAGAATTCTCGCCTTGAGAACATCTGAATACTTTCTAAGCCTCCCAAGGCGCAAAGCATAGTACGATAGATATCGACCTCCTGTGAGCGTTCCAGGAATCTGTGCAAATACAGAAACATCGGCCGTGACACCGGCAGCAAACTTGCATCTTGCGGCATCGTCGAAAGGGAAAGCTTGGGACGTATCGGTAGATGCTCGCGATTGACTGAATGTAGCAGAACCTACGATGATCATCTTTGCAAGGAGATCAGAGTTGGGACAAGGACCGTGACAAGAAGATTATGAGTTAAACATACTATTCAGACAAAAGAGAAAGATCAAGTATACCACTCTTTTCCAATCCAGGATATCGTCAAGGCCATCCATCCCTACCGGACGCCAACGCCATGCAAGCCCTTCTTCCACTCTCTTAGACCTTCATCCACAGTGCCAACACACCCTTGGCATACTCCACAATCTCATCACCACCCAGCTTGCTCTCGCCATAAAGACGGTCTACAAACGAGATTGGCACCTCCGCAACCGTGCATCCCATCGCCTTCGCCCTAACCATCATCTCCATCTGGAAAGTATATCCCTTGCTCTCGGTGCTACGAATAACCTTCTGGAGCACCTCCTTCTTGTACAACCTGAACGAACCCGTCAAGTCACTCACGCCTGGCCTGAGCACAGTGTCCGCAAATAGGTTGGCGCCCCTAGACACAAACTTGCGCTTGAGATCCCAGCCAAATACACCACCATCCCCCGCATACCGTGTGCCAGTGACGATGTCGTAGTTCTTGGTCTTCTGCAGCGCAATCATGGGCGCAATGAACTTGGGGTGGTGCGAGAAGTCGGCGTCCATGATGATGACGAAGTTGCCGGTTGCGTATTGCAGGCCGTGGACGTAGGCGGTTCCGAGTCCGAGTTTACCAGCGCGGGCGCGGATTTGGATGCGCTGAGGGGTGTAGACCTTTTGGAGCTGGGCGGCGATTTCTTGGGTACCGTCGGGGGAGCCGTCGTCGACGATGATGAGTTCCCAGTCGAGTTTGCTGGAGGGAAATTAGCATTGGCGTCATGTGTTGTAGAGTTGTCTTGCGACGTACTTCTCCTCGAATGTCTTAGCCAGGAGCCATGTTATTATGGGCAGGTTGCGACGCTCGTTGTAGGTGGGAAGAAGCACCGAGTACTTGTTGGTATTCGCCATGTTTGGTTCGGCTGTTGTGTCTGCGGAATTGGGTGAAAGAGCGACTGCAGGTGAGGGTTGACGTTGGAGGTTGAGGATTCGCGGAGGTGATCGTGTCCGCAAGTAGCTCGGACCCTGACTAGCCTCTTTGGATCATCTCCTTCCGCAATCCCATCAGGGAGTTTGGGTCCACTTACACGTCGATGCGATCTTGGTCCGACATTGCCGTGTATCTATCAGCATTGTCGGATGAACGCTGTGGGGTCGACAAGGTATCGCCGTTGAAGTGGCCGGTTCGCATCACGCACCCGACAGACCTAGGTAATCTCCGTCTCTGTCTGCAGCATGTCCGGAAAGAAGAACCTACTTCTTTGTCTCGACGCGTTCGGCACACTCTTTCATCCTTCTAAACCAATCCCAAAAGCCTACGCACAAGCCGCAGCCCGTCACGGCATCAACGTAGGCGACACCAGAACCATCCATGAGGTAGGTTCAAGCTTCAGCTCCGCCTTCAAAAAAGCCTCTCAAGAGAACCCAAATTATGGAAAGGCCACAGGCATGGGTGCAAGGACGTGGTGGTCAAACGTCATAGAAGATACTTTCAACCCTTTTCTCAGCGCAGGTCAACCCTTCCCACCTGCCCTTACCGAGGAACTTCTTCGCACGTTCTCCTCAAGTTCAGGATACGATCTGTACCCAGACGTTCTTTCTCTTTTTAGAGTACTGCGAGCTCACTCGGAGAGAAAGAAACCTTCGGCTGTCTGGCCCTGGGATAGAACCATTGTGGGAATCATAACAAATTCCGATGACCGTGTCCCCGATATTTTGAATTCACTGAACGTCAAAACAAGCTTCCGTCGCTACGTCCCCGGAGCTCAAAAGAACAAAGAAGAACAACACAGAAACAAACAGATCGACGATGTACATTTCACTGTGCTATCCTACGATGTCGGCTTCGAGAAACCAGATCGACGTATCTTCACTGCTGCCGAAGAGATGCTAGCGCTCACACTGGATAGCACAGGGTCCAGCTCGGATACCCCAGCATCATCGTTTGAGAAACTTTATGTCGGAGATGACCTGACGAAAGATGTTTTTGGCGCTGAAGATGCGGGGTGGTCTAGTGTGTTAGTGAAGCGAAGTGAGGGTTATGGATTGAAGCTGTCGGAGGAAGAGTGTGAACGAGAGGGAGAAACTGGAGGGAAACGGACTGTGTCGACAGTGGGCAATTTGATGGACCTATGTGCATGGAGACCGGGGAAAGACGAGACATCTCCGGTGCGGTATGTACATAGCTACGAGCCTCAGAGTAGGGTGGGGAAACGTGAGAAACAGATCGAGATGACACGGGCGAAGGCGGCAAGAAGGGAAAAAGGCCGAGACGATACAGACACTCACTCAACAACCAACAATTGCTACACACAGCAATAAAACAACAAACCTGCATCGAGCACCCGTTCCGATGGAGAACAACTGGATATTCCACTACGACAGGCAGCACGGAAACCGGTTGTAGCAGGAACTCCCCCGAGGCCTCGAGGAATCACCGTCTTTTTCTCTCAGAAATCTGCATCAGATAAACAGTGCTTTTCACCTTGTACTTGCAAATCAATCATTCATGCACACATACCATATATCGTGCCATACATTTCGTTTCATGTCACTCCACACTACTAGACACACCAGTAATGCATCTTGCACCAGCTCATCCTAATCCCAAACCATCAACCACGCTTCTTGCCTTGCCGAAGCTCACACCAAAAGAGAACATACGAAACATGATCATGTACAGAATTCATCAGCCAGCCCAGAACCGAACCCGGCACCAAGCCTATTTTATCCAAAGGCCCCCATATCCTTACTTTTGCAGGATCCATGCCAATTTGCGCCTAGAAGGTGATGCCGGCCGTGGTGCCCGCGAGGTATTAAGGTTTGGACAAATGTGGCATTGCAGTATTCGACTCGTGGGTGACCGTTATAATGCGAACAGAGATGT